GTTCTACATCCTCGTGTACGTCAACGACTTGGTCTTTGCTACTGCTTACACTGCTGGACTCGCCCACGTGAAGTCCGAGCTGCAGAAGAGACACACGTGCACAGACCTGGGTGAACTGCGCAGCTATCTTGGCCTGCAGATCACCCGGGACAGAGCACCGCGCACCATTACCCTTACTCAGTCACACATGGTGCAGCAGGTCCTTCAGCGCTTCGACTTCACGTACTCCTCGCCTTAGGCCACTCCTTTGTCTACTCGCCACTCGCTCTCAGCTCTGCCTTCGGATGAGTCCGTAGAGCCGAGTGGCCCGTACCCAGAGCTTGTTGGCTGCCTCATGTACCTGATGACCTGCACTCAACCTGACCTGGCATACCCTCTTAGCATCTTGGCATGCTATGTCGCTCCTGGGAGACACCGACCAGAGCACATGGCTGCAGCGAAGAGGGTTTTGCGCTACTTGTGCAGTACGTCGGGCATGGGGCTCGTGCTTGGAGGGAAGAGTTCAGTGGTCCTCACTAGTCACGCAGACGCGTCTTGGGTTGACAACTTGGCTACGCAGCGGTCAGCACAGGGTTACACCTTCAGCCTTGGTTCCGGCTCTGTTTCGTGGCGGTCTACTCGCTCGTCTTCTGTTCTCAGCTCCAGCTGTGAGGCTGAGATCTACACTGGGGCCGTGGCTGCACAAGAGTTACGCTGGCTCACCTACCTGCTGACTGACCTAGGAGAGCCGCCTCGTTCTCCTCCAGTTCTGTACGTAGACAACAAGGCCATGCTGGCCTTGTGTCGGGAGCACAGACTGGAGCACAGAACGAAGCACATTGCTCTTTGCTACTTCCTTGCTCGTGAGCTGCAGCAGCGTGGTCAGCTGCGCCTTGCCTACGTGGCCTCTCGGGCCCAAACCGCTGCTATCTTCACCAAGGCACTTCAGCCTTGTGATCATCAGCGCTTTTGTACTATGCTAGGTCTTGTGCCTACTTGGCCTCACTTGCTCACTTCTTAACTTTGCTTGTACTGTGATCTATATATACCTGCACCTGCATGCTTACCCTTGCTAGGTTGAGATCACTGCCTTTCTTGTTCACCTTGATATATATCTCTGCTTGTGAACTGGCCTTGTGCTTGTGCTCAGAATGCGTGGTGACGTTGTGATCCACCCTGAGCTTCTTTTGCTTTGTTTCTTCTCTTGACTGGTCTTGTGACCGTTGCTTGTGTTGGCTATCCCCCACTTCGCCTATGGGGGTGTGTCAAATTATATGTTTAATGTTTTCTAGGCTGTAGTGGGTTTAGCCTTAGGGGGTACAGAATTTTGCTCGACACTTCTTTGTATCCCCCTCCTTGCCCTAATCTCGCTCATACCTTCATACTATTCTCACACATCCTCACACCGAAACCTCTTGCGTTTGTGAAGACGAAGAGTTGTCGTTTGACGCAATCCGTCCTTCAACGCGGAACACATTACATAATGCCATGACCCCCACCAACTCCAGTTGACTCTCCTGTGGTTCCGCCACCGCGGGCTCTCACAGACGTGGAGAAGAACAAGAAGCGTTTTGGGAGGCGCAAAACTGTTACAACTCTTAGTTGCCTAATTACCCGTGCTTATTCTCGACAAAACATCAAACGGCCTCCCTTGCCTGCGTTGCAACATCTGCTCGAAGCACGGCAAGGATGGTGCATGGTATGATCGCAATGGAAAAGATAGGAAGGACATGCATCGTGGGTCCATGCAAGCCCATGAGCTGATCACCGAGACGAAAACACGCTGAATGAGTAGAAGATGATGATGAAGGATATCAAGTCTTAGAAGAGAATTATTGACTACGAAAAGACCAACCCTGAGGGCACGAGAATTACGCGTCTTGTTGGTTTGATATTCCACATTGGCCCTGCGGCGTCTACATTAAAGATCACTGCGGAGAGTCAATGTACAAAGGGTATATTATGTGGGAGGTTATTGATTTTACGGGGCCATTGCAGCATTGCGCAATGCTTGTGCAAGCTTGTAGGTAAAGTTTACAAGAGTTTCACAAGGAAAAGCTAGAACAACGAGTTGACAAACCCATGGAAGTTGATGTAGCAAGGAATGCATCGCAACGCACTAGCAACCTAGCAAGGCGGCCTACCAACGTAGCATGAAGGCAGCTTGCTAGTGTTGCAGCAAGTCGGCATGCGAGTGCTGCAACAAGGCGACTTGGAGGTGCAGTTGGCCCGTAATGTTTGACAAGACTACAGCAGCAGTTGCCCCTCCCTTATGTACTCGGTCTTCCTTGTCTGTCCATTGACAGTGAGACTCCCTCCTCCCCACCACTGCCTCCCCTGGGCTTGTCTCTAGATCACTTTCTTTCTTGTTCACATTTGTCTCCCCCTCTCCTTCCCTTATCTCTTAGCCCTTCACTTATTGTCCCCCTAGTTCTTATCCCTCATCTTCTATTCCAGGCTTTCACCCCATGTCCTATCCTCCCAGGTCATGGACCCATAGCCCCTCGGTCATCTGTCCTTGCTCTAGTTGCAGTTGTCACCGACTTTGCCTCCACCCACCACCTTGACTACACCATTGAGCTGGTCTCTGACCCTGCCAATCCTCCGTACATCACAGGTGCTCCTGTCTTGGCAATGACGTCCTAGAGGACATGTAGTTCGATCTGGCTTTCCTTGCGGCCGCTGCTCCTCATCTCTATGCCATGCTGAAAACCGGTGAGGGTGACCTAGACGCTTTTGACATCCCGACTCTTCGCACCTGCACTGAGGCAGTTTCGGGAACCTAAGCCCCTCAGTGGATAGCGGTCATGGACGTAGAGATGGCATCTTGGAGGTCCACATGCACCTACGTCGAAAATGTTCCCCCTCCTAGAGCGAAATTTTTTAATGGCATGTGGATCTTCGATGTGAATTGACCATCTGGATCCCCGCCTGTCTTCAAGGTGGGCTATGTGGCAAGAGGCTTTAGTCGGCGAGAGGGTGCAAACTTCTTTCATACCTTTGAGTGTTGCTGTGTATCGCGGCGCGATGCAACTATAGGCTCCACTCACTTGACTTTACCTAGGGCATCCTGCATGAGCAGATCTGGCTCCGCCGTCCACCTAGCTTCACTGGGTCCTTCCCTCCTTAGATCCAGTGCAAGACTGCCCCAGACGCAAAACGTAGGCGCAGCACCAGGGACCTAATTAAGACGAGAGTCGGTATGGCCATTGAAAAGGGGGGGGGGGGGGGAAATGGCATGGACCATGGAGGTACGGGCGATCTATGTGGCCAAGCCAATGCAACGCTCAGCAACCCTAGTCTACTACGGCGATTCTGGGATTATGTACATCTCGCGGATGCCCTCTGCCCAACAGAGCCAAGTCAAGGACCCTAACGTTGGCTCAGCATGTACAGCTTGGCATTAAGGAGCCACGCTGCAAATCTGCCTATCCCTCCACATCAATTCGCATGACAAATTCAAACATCATGACGGAAGCAGGTGCACATGTGCAATCGAAGAGAGGAGACTGCCGCAGGCGGAGGAGACGGCAGGCAGCAAGGAGGGGGGCGTTAGGGCTGCAGGAGTGGGAGTGATGGGCGCGATTGCAGGAATGGCAGACACGTGCGACAGCAGCGCAGTAGGTGCAGGCGGCACTAGCAATGGGGGCTGGCGGCAAGGCACACGCGGGACTTGTGCGCAGTTGACGCGGCCGACTCGCTAGTGCTGCTGGTGCGGGCTGGCACGGCTAGCGCGACTGGCGCAGCTGGCGCGATTGGTGCTACTAGCGCTGGGTGGCTAGTGGCTTGCACAGGTGGTGAGCTGGATAGCTCAGGCTGGTGCAGCTGGCGTGGTTGGCGCGGACGGCGGTCGCGGGCTGGCACTGGCGGACGCGATGGTTCCGCTGTCGGCTAGGCCTACTAGTGCTTGATCGGCTCGATTTGTTAGCACGGCTGGATTTGTTAGCGCGGCTGGTGCGGATGCTGCTGACGCTAGTGCAGCTAGCGCCGGCGCAGCTGGTGCTAAATTAGCGGTAGTGGGCGCAGTAGCTGTAGGCGCGGCAGCAATGGGCGCGGTAGTTGCAGGCAGAGCAGTCACAAGCGGGCAGGCACGACTAAGCTCGACGGGAGGGGCGCGATGGGGACGGAAAGGGGTGGGGAGGGGAGAGAGGGTCAGGAGGGGCGCGGATGAGGCGCCAAGGGGTCGTGATGGGAGGGGCCACAAAAGGGCGCGCTAGGAAAAAGGGTCGAGAGGACACACGTGAGGGTAGGCGTGGTGTAGGCCACGATATACCCTAACGATAATACCATGCAATCATGTATATATTGCACCTGAATCTAGCCTCCCATATTACATTGACTAACTATAAATGGATACGTTTGTCTGTTTAGTCGCTTAGATGAAACCAAAGGATGTGCTGTCAGATTCATATGAAAAAAGCAATATAGGCCTAATATTGAAGATGATCAAAAGATTCGTCTTATGTCGACGTCTCTTGTTGGGTATGATGTCAGGTAGTTGAACGTGTCTGTATATGCACCACATTTGAAAAATGACAGTCTTAGCACCGCGGTGGTCTATAGAGAGCAATTATGTCATGCTTTGTAAGCACTGAACTCCCGGGTGAGGGTCAAGCACTGTCCCTAAAGCACCCCGTTAGTAGATCTGATTCGGTATGGTCCTATTTTGAATAAACCAAGATCAGCGTGCCAGATACGGACGAGTGGTAACGGCGCAAAATGGGTTGTACACCCTGTTTCTCGCTACACTGAACTGTGCCGAACGGGTGGAAAACCTTGTTATCTTCGGTTTGCCTAATTGAACCATACTGAAACGTAGTCTAACCACCGTTAACCGTGCTTTCCCATCTTGACTTCATTGTAACCAAATTCACAATGGCGAGAAAGAGGGTGTACAGAAGATCGTTAGACGGCAACGCAGAGGTCAAGCAGTTGAACAATCTGAAAACCGCAAGCAATGCCGCGCGCCGTGCACGCATGCTCCTGGTAATCTCTTCCCCCCTCTACGAATCGATGCCATCATGCTGCGCGTACTCCGAGTCATGCGCCGTTCAAACCACTCTCGCCGTCACCTCACCCGCTGCTCTCCGTGTTGCGTAGCTCGTTGCTTCCGTCTCGTCCTCGTCGCAGCATGCCTCGCTGTAAGGGCAGTTTCGTGACATTCTCCCACCCTCCCCGCCGCGCCCCCTAACCATTGCCCGTGAAATCCCACCTCAAAGCGGCGTCGCGCGGTGAGTTCACGACGCGGCTCGTCCACTCCCTCCGTCCCACCCTCCCCCACTCACCATGCGGCCCCTCCGTGCCCTTCCGCGCGCAGGCATGCAGCGCGCAGCGCGGAGCGGCGCGGCCAGGGTCGATCCTGGCGGGGTTCGAGTACCCGGAGCATGTGTGCGGGGTGGCGTGGCGCGACGAGTACGTGCAGCTGCACGCGCGCATCAGAGCCGCCAGCCGCGACGCGTGGCGCGCGCGACAGCCACCAGGTAGCGTGGGGCGGCGGTGGGCCGGAGCGCGTGACGATGCGGGTTCTAACTAGTAGTGGGTGACTGTTAGTAGTGAGAGAAACGGAGGGGCAGACGCGTGGTTGCGCGGACAGTAAGGGGAAGGCAGGGCGCAAGCACCTGCGGGTGGATGCGTGTGCACCTACGCACTGCTCCGCCCTCTGCTCCCCGCTGCCCTGTGCAGATGCTCCATCTCCGGCGCCTTCGCCTTCGCCTTCGCCAGCGCCAGCGCCCGCCGCATCACACGAATCGCCGCCGCTTGCCTCCGCGCCGCCGCCACAGCCCGCCGCCACGTCGCGCAGGCGCCTGGCGGACCACTACCCCCCCGACATCGACAAGCCCGCGGAGCCTGCAGCAGCGGACGACTCCGCAGCACCTGACGCGCCGCCGGCAGTGCGGTTTCTGACGTACGACTGGTACGGCACGTGCGGGGGAATCGGTGACTACCTCATCGGGCTCGTCTCCATCTTCCCCGCCGCGCTGCTCGACCGCCGCGCGCTGCTCGTGGCGCAGCCCTGCATGCACGCCGCGTTCCGCTCGCCACACATCGACACCGCGCTCTCCCCCGACGTGCCCATGGGCGGCCACCCGCTGCTGCGCGCCACGCCCCTGGACGCCCTCAGCAGCGCGGACGCCATCGCTAGCGCCAGCGCTGGCGACAGCGACGGTGAGGGCGAGGGCGGCGAGAACGGTCCCCGGGTGGAGTGGCACGCGCCGCCGTGCGAGCGGCTGGAGGGGAACCTGAGCGCTGACGTGGCGGACAGCAGTGCAGTGCCGTGCTTCAACATGGTGGGGCAGACGTTTGCGATTGGGGACCTGCAGCGGCACAGCAGGCTGAGCAACTACCGCATGCGGTACAACCACGGGCTGCTCATCTCCACTCTGCTGCTGGACGACGGGCCCTGGGCTGCCGCGCTGAGGCGGCTGGGGTTCAAAATCGCGTACGGGTTCGGATGCATCCTCAGATTCCTCTTCAGGTCCGTCTGACTCACGTGCCTTGTGCGAGACACACCCACTTGCTCACTGCTGTGCCCTGCGCCACACCCACTCGCTCACTGCTGTGCCATGCATGACGCCCACACGCTCATGGCTGTGCCATGCGTGACACCCACTCGCTCATGACTGTGCCATGCGTGACACCCACTCGCTCATGGCTGTGCCATGCGTGACACCCACTCGCTCATGGCTGTGTCCTGAACTGCATCACACGCTACAGTCGTGTGTGTATGCTGAGGGTTTGAGGCACGGTGTGAGTGGTATCCATCCGTCACCTCCACCACTGTTACCCCTTCCTCTTCCATTCCCCTCTTGCATCTCCTCCTTCCCCTCCCGCACTGCCCCTCTCCTTCTCTTTCCCTCTCGCCTGACCCCAGTCCGCGGCCCGAGGTGTGGCAGCTGGTGGCGGGGAAAGAGGAGCACGTGTGGGGCGAGGCCGTGGTGCATGCATGCTGAGAGTGCGAGGCACGGTGCGATTGGTATCCATTCGTCAGCCATCCCGTCCACCCATTGTTGGCGCCTTTTCCTTTCATCTCTTCCATCCCCTCCATCCCCAGTCCGCGGCCTGAGGTGTGGCAGCTGGTGGCGGGGATGGAGGAGCACGTGTGGGGCGAGGGCGTGGTGCGCGTGGCAGTGCACCTGCGCGTGCCGGACCAGACCGTGTGGCACTTTGAGGGCGCACCCCTGGACACGTCACAGCAGCAGCTGGAGGAGCTGCTGGCCGAGGCCAACAGCACGCTGCAGTGCGCTCAGGTGAGGCCTGTGCTTGCACTTGCGTGTGCCGGATGGCACCGTGTGGCACTTTGAGGGCGCGCCCCTGGACACGTCACAGCAGCAGCTGGATGAGCTTCTGGCCGACGCCAACAGCAGTGCGCTCAGGTGGGTTCCAAAGGGGGAAGTGGGAGTTCTCAGTGTGTGCATGCCATGGGGGGGTTCTGTGCCGGACTGCACGGTGTGGCACATGTTTGAGGGCACGCCACTGAATGCGTTGCAGCAGCAGCTGGAGGAGCTTCTGGCCGAGGCCAAGAGCACGCTGCAGTGCGCTCAGGTGAGGCGAGGAATGTGTTGTGGGTGCCGGACGAAATGGTGTGTGCGGGACGAAATGGGGTGGCACATGTTTGGGGACATGCTCTTGGACGCGTCGCAGCAGCAGCTGGGTGCACACAGGCACGTGCCGCCAGGGGGGGCGTGCTGAGTTCGCGTGTGCCGTTCCGCTGTGCTTTGGCATGCCATGGGGATGAGCTGTGTTGTTCGCCTGTGCTTTGGCATTTCGTGGGGATGGGGTGTTGTGTTGGGCGAGCAATGGTTCGGGTCAAGTCGCACAAGGGTTGCGGTTGTGGGGGGGAAGGAGGGAATGGGAGAGGAAGGGGAGGGCAGCAGGAGTGGGGTTTCAAGAATATGTATGGTGACACTTCTTCTCTGCATGTTTCAAGAATATGTATGGTGACACTTCTTCTCTGCATGTTTCAAGAATATGTATGGTGACACTTCTTCTCTGCATGTTTCAAGAATATGTATGGTGACACTTCTTCTCTGCATGTTTCAAGAATATGTATGGTGACACTTCTTCTCTGCATGTTTCAAGAATATGTATGGTGACACTTCTTCTCTGCATGTTTTTGCCACTGAAGGTTTCACTGTGCTCTCCTCCCCGTTCCTTTCCCCAACCTCCCCACACCCCTCGTGGCAGACAGTGGAGGATTTCTGGTATCCGCCGCCCCTGCAGGTGAAGTGGATTCTCATCACCAACTCGCATCCGCTCAAGCAAGTGCTCAAAGCCAAGTACCCACATAAGGTATGTAACCACCCCCACCCTCGCTCATGCTCCATCCCATCCCCACCCATCCTTTCCACCTGCCTCCCCGTTTCTCTTTCCTCCCATACCGTCCTCTCTTCACATATGTTCCCTTCCTTTCGCCCACTCAATTTCCTTGCTTCCTCTTGCCCTGCCTCGTCCCTCCCCTTTCTCTCATGTGCCACGCCTCTCCCCTGCATGTGCCGCATTGCGTGCATGCCATGCCATGTGCGGGCACGGGGCACATGGTGCGCTGCCAGGTGGTAGCGACAGACTTCATCCCATGGCACTCGGATCGAGCCACGGAGCACGAGAACACAGACCTCACCTCGCCGGAGGAGCGTGAGGCGGCGCTGCGAGGCCTGCAGCACTTCCGCGAGACGGTGGCGGAGTGGGCGCTCGTGGCGTCGTGCCACACCTTCATCATCCCCGCCTCGGGCTTCTCCCGCACGGCGGCCCTCTATGCCCTGCGCCCGCTCGACATGTTCATTCCCCCACCCGACCCCTGTAACCCCGAGGAGCCCACTCCCATCTCTGCCTTGCGCGGCTCCTGGAGTGGCATCTAGGCATGCGGGCATGTGGGTCTCTGGGCATGTGGGCATCGTGCGCATGCCCATTGTTGCCCTGTGGCCCGCCATGGGCTGCTGGGCCGCGTCGGGCACGTGGGACATGTGGGGCAAGGGGGCACGTGCGGTATATATGGCACGGGGGGTGGGGCTTGGGATGGCACGCAGTGGTAATCATCCGGGTTTCTGCTCTGCACGACATCACAAGACTGAGGCGGCAGAAAACCATGTTGGTTGCATCTAACACGGTTTGGAGAACGCCACCTTCAGATCGAACGCTATGCGGAGAATATATACGTATGCATATATATGTTATCTGTCTGTCTGTATGTGTACCATAATTACCAGTAACCCCTGGGTGTTGATTCTTAAGGAGTGGGTGGAAGACTGGAGATTTAACCTTGCAAAACCCAGCAATACACAAAAACATTGCATGTCAGTTGCCTGAAACCGAGGCTCTTCGCAGTGCACAAGCCCAACAAGCAAACCCAGTAATGAAATCACCCTAGCCGCTCCTGCAATAGTGCTTTGTTTTTTAATAATAGGAGGAAAAAAAATACCTGCAGCAGTACCGTATGTGCACCCATATGCAATTTGGTAAAATGACTCAAAACTGTGACATGATTACACTATAACTACATCGCTATACCGCATCGCTAATCCTCTGAGGGTAGTGCGATAATACCGTACAACTTATAACAAGAATGGGGACTGCGATTACTCCCACAATTCTGTCCTCCCGATCCTCCCTTGAGCTCTTGCAGATCACAGCAGGTGTTGGCTGCTCATACACGCGCCATGGACGCCAGCATTCGTCTCCCGCCGCTAGCGAACATCCTCCGCCTAATCGATCGCACCTATTCGCCCCCGTGCATCGACCTGCACGGGCTCTCCGCCGACTCTCTCTCCGCGCGCGTGGCGAGCTTCCCCGTTGCGCTCATTACGGGCCGCGAGCCCCTCGAGAGCGCCGTGCCCAAGGTGCAGAAGCTCGCAGAGGTTTGCCGCGGTTTGGCGGAGGCGGAAGCGAGTGGCGCGGGGGGGAGCGGCGGAGCGGAGCGGAAGCTGCAAGTGGTGGTGCTGGTCCAATCAGACGTGGAGGAGAAAGAGGTGCAGCAGTCGCTCTTAAAGCTCGCGGCGAAAGAGAGGCTCCCAAACGGCCCCACGGGTCCCGCGATTCCATCGCAGCCGCCGTGGATCGCGGTGCCGTGCGTGCCGTCAGATGTCGAGTCGCTCGAAGGAGTTCTTACCGAGGCCGCGCAGACGCTCTCCGTGGCGCTCGATATAGTCACGTCGTCGGCGGACGGGCTCGCGTTGTTCGACAGCACGGGCCGCCCGTTATTAAGGCGCGGCGCGGAGGTTCTAGAAGCGTACGGCAGCGACGCGTGGCCGTTCACTCCGGCGCGAATCGCGGAGCTGGAGGCGGCGAAAGCCGATCGCGACGCGAAGGAGCAGCAGCTCGGCGCGCTTCTCGCGACGAACGATCGCGATTGGCTGCTACGAGGCGGCGGCGGTGTAGGTGGCGGTGGCGGCGAGTCAGGAGAGCCGTTGGATGCGGAGCTGGCTAAGGAACGAATCGCGGATAGCCTGGCGGGGAAGCGCGTGGTGGGGCTTTATTTCGGCGCGGCTTGGTGCCCCCCGTGCGAGCCGTTGCTGCAGCGACTGACGTCCGCGTATCACGGGATCAGCGAGAAACACGGGAAGCACGCTCTGGAGGTGGTTTATGTCTCGTGTGACACTAACGAGCGGGAGTTTCTCGAATCGGTGAAAGGGGTGCCGTGGCTGGCCGTGCCGTTCGCGGATAAGGCGACCAGAGACGCGCTAGTAGAAAGGTTTTCGTCCAAAGCCATCCCCTCTATAGTGTTCCTCGATAACTCCGCAGCAGCTACCGCAGCAGAGGCAGCAGCGGAGGGTGCATGGAACGAGGCGATGTTGAGGCACCCAACACCGACCATCACGAGGGATGGACGCGATGTGATCATGGAAGTGGGCGCGGAGGGGTTTCCGTTCTCAGCTGAGCATGTGGAACGGGCCAGAGCTGCTAAGTAGGCAGCGGACGGGCAATGCTAGCTGTAGGGTTTATCAGAAGCAGAAGTAGGGGGTGCAACAGCAGCTGCAGCATAGACAGCAGCAGAAACAGCAACAGGGGAAGCAGCGGAGGGTGCATGGACTGAGGCAATGTTGAGTCATCCAACGCCGACTATCGCAAAGAGGGCAGAGGGCTGTGATGTGATGTGATCATGGAAGTGGGTGCGGAGGGGTTCTTTTCTTTGCTGAGCACGTGGAACTGGCATGAGCTGCGAGGAAAGCAGGGGATGGGCAATGCTAGCTGTAGGGTTTATCAGAAGCAGAAGTAGGGGGTGCAGCAACAGCAACAGCAGAATGTGCCGCGGCAGCAGCAGCAGATCTGAGAGGAAGGGAGAGGTGATAAGGCCAGTGTTGGTGGTGCGGGAAATGGTGACTCTTATTGGTGCTGATCATGCAGGCATGCTGGCGAGATTCTGGCAAAATGTTGGCACGGTTTTACGTTGATCGGTTGGGCGATGGTGCGCATCGATGTGGGGATGCATGCGCTGTGAATGAGGGCAGGGGAGGGGAGAATGAGAATGCTGGGTGGTGTGCTGCTCGGGCACTGACGGTGCTGCTGCTAGCTTTTAGTGTGCTATGGTGGTGATGGTGGTGCTCACTGGTGGTGCTCACTGGTGGTGGTCACTGGTGGCGCTCACTGGTGCACGTGTAGAGAGGGCACAAGCTCCAAATCTAGCAGAGCGAGTGGAGACAGAGAATTGCTGCGGCACAGCAGTGGCAGTGGTGCTGGCTCCGCTCGTGGTGCAGTTGTAGCTGCTGATGCAACCATATTGTTTATTAAGCCAGAGAATTGCTGGGATGGGATGAAGCCCTAGGATTATTTAGAGAGGTCAAATCCTAAAATTCATTATACAGTAAATTTCCCACATACGGTAAAAGACCCCAGGGTCTCAATGGGTGTGTCATGTCAGGGCGTCTGTGGTGTTTCAGCAATGTTCTATGGCACTGTTCACACAGTTTGAACATGGACGTGGTGTGGAGGGATAATGGTAAGGGAGTTCCCCCAACCATGTGCATTTGTCAAGTGGCTCCTCCGTGGCACAAGGCTTGTCCTGTTGACACTATACACCATCGTTGTCTTTTTGTTCGTCTTCTTTCTCACCAGTACATTAGATGCACAATTTCTATACGCCTGCACTTCCTTCCATTACAGCCAAGAGCAGAGCACCCTCAAAAGAGCAAGTCCTCCAGCAATTCAATCCACGAGCCATGAAAGCCCCTACGGTAATGTTGCCATTGCCATGGTTTCTTGGTTGCAGCCACAGCGACCTGCATTTGAGGTGCCTAGGCGAGTACAACCCTCATGTGTTGTTGCTTGCAGGCGCAGCAACCCGCTCGTACACCGCCAGAAACGTGCGCCCACCGTTTCTTTGCACCTGCAGGGAGTGTGGCGGGCCACCGTGACCAGCAGGGGCAATGGAAGTGCACACGAGGGTGACAGGTGAGAGGCTCGCGGTGAGGGACATAGGGCGAGGCGCATGGGGTGAGGCGCATGGGGTGAGGGACATAGGGCGAGGCGCATGGGGTGAGGGGCATGGGGTGAGGGACATAGGGCGAGGCGCATGGGGTGAGGGGCATGGGGTGAGGCGCATGGGGTGAGGCGCATGGGGTGAGGCGCATGGGGTGAGGGACATAGGGCGAGGCGCATGGGGTGAGGGGCATGGGGTGAGGGGCATGGGGTGAGGGGCATGGGGTGAGGGGCATGGGGTGAGGGACATAGGGCGAGGCGCATGGGGTGAGGCGCATGGGGTGAGGGACATAGGCGAGGCGCATGGGGTGAGGCGCATGGGGTGAGGGGCATGGGGTGAAGGGCATGGGGTGAGGGGCATGGGGTGAGGGGCATGGGGTGAGGGACATGGGGTGAGGGACATGGGGTGAGGGACATGGGGTGAGGGGCATGGGGTGAGGGGCATGGGGTGAGGGGATTGCAGTTCCTGTCATAACAAACATGGTTGGAGCATTCAGTTGCGACGAGGAACTATCTCCCAATAAATCACCAACAAGCCTATGTGGTTTTATCATGATGCATAGCACATCGCAGACCCTGCCACAAGAAGAAAAGGAGGCATGTATCGACTGCAATGAATGTATTGACTGCATGGACTGCATTGACTGCAATGACTGCAATGAATGGATTGGCTGCATTGACTGCATTGACTGCAATGAATGGATTGGCTGCATTGACTGCATTGACTGCAATGAATGGATTGGCTGCATTGACTGCATTGACTGCAATGAATGGATTCACTGCATTGACTGCACTGACTGCACTGACTGCATTCACTGCATTCACTGCATTCACTGCATTCACTGCTCTTCCCTTAGCTCTACATGCTGTGAGGCAAGCTTGCACACCGCTGACCTTGAGGCCTTCTTCTGACGACGTGGAGAGCAGCGGAATGACCGGATCCGCCTCCTGTTATTCCCATGCACACACATGCACGCCCATGCAACCACGAACAGCACCCATGCCCAGAGCACAGCAAGCAACCCAGAGAAACACACAGAGGATTCGCATTTCTCATGCATCCATGCGGCGGGTGAACAGCAGCCATTCCACAGAGGGGTGCAATAAGCAACACCGGCGGCAGGCGCGGTGTAAAACGCCACAAGAGAAAAACCCGTCACACGTGGGATTCGAGAACATGCACTCTCCCGACCAGAGATACATGAAGCTGTGGGTGCAGCTCCTCTCAAATCCGTCTTATCGCTCACAAATGTTAATTGCACACGTACGATGCTATTTGAAAGCCCGAGGATGGGCAAACAGCAGGGCTATCAGAATGACAGTGGAGCGAACTATGAGTACAGCACTCCCCACGCCTCCCTGCGACGCTCTCCTCTCCTTATCTGTGCCAAGACCGACAGCTCACAATCTGGGCGGCAGTGAGCTCACCATCTGGGCGGCAGTGAGCTCACCATCTGGGCGGCAGTGAGCTCACCGTCTGGGCGGCAGTGAGCTCACCATCTGGGCGGCAGTGACCTCACCGTCTGGGCGGCAGTGAGCTCACCATCTGGGCGGCAGTGAGCTCACCATCCGGGCGGCAGTGAGCTCACCATCTGGGCGGCAGTGAGCTCACCGTCTGGGCGGGAGTGAGCTCACCATGTGGGCGGCAGTGAGCTCACCGTCTGGGCGGGAGTGAGCTTGCGGAAGAGTGGGTGTGCAGCCAGGTGGCCGTCCATCCACACACCCAGCTCCTCCACGTCCGTGATGCTGTACAGGATGCCTGCTCGCACACACAAGCGGAGGGAAAGAAGGGAGAGTTGACATTTGAGTCGACTAAAACGTCCATCCACACACCCAGCTCCTCCACGTCCGTGATGCTGTACAGGATGCCTGCTCGCACACACAAGCGGAGGGAAAGAAGGAAGAGTTGACATTTGAGTCGACTAAAACGTCCATCCACACACCCAGCTCCTCCACGTCCGTGATGCTGTACAGGATGCCTGCTCGCGTGCACAAGGGTTGGGAGGGTGCTTGGTTGGGTTGGAACCAAGGTGATTTTTGAGTTGACTCAAAACTCGCGTCCGATTTGCTGTGGAGCAGGCCTGCTTGCGCGCACACAAGGTGGAAGCGTGGGGAAGGGGGGTTGGTTGGGGACGGATCGGTGGAGGAGGGAGGGGGAGGGGATTGAAGCTACCGGCACCCGAAGCGGCCCGCGTGGTGAAAGATGAGTTGCACGTGTCGGATTGACGGTTTTTTTCAATCGACTCAAAAGAGGATGAGTTCCATGAGTCGGGTTGATGATTTCTTTTTTATTCTAAAAAAAAACGGTTGATGGTTGGGGACAGATAGAGGGAGAGGGGGGATCAGCACAGGTAGATCAGAGGAAAGCGTGGATGGATGCAAGGTTGATGCGTGTAGGGCCCCTTAAACAATGGCTTCTGATTTGAGAAGACTCACAAGCTGACTTACAGGCAGGCTTCCAGGCCCTAATACCGCTAGAATAGAAGCACCTCCTGCCATAGTCACTCACCTCCTGCCATAGTCACTCACCTCCTGCCATAGTCACTCACCTCCTGCCATAGTCACTCACCTCCTGCCATAGTCACTCACCTCCTGGAGCCAGCACATAGGCATACTCCGCCAACAGAGCAGTCCTGCAATTAGACATGCAGACAGAAAGTGATGATGCAAGGGAGGGCGCATCAAGTGGGGCATGGCATGGCATGGCATGGCATGGCATGTATAGGTGCACAATCATGGCGCAACGCAGCCATGCACACAACCATACACACATGCTGCTACAAGGGGTCAACCAGGCGGATGGCGGCATGCATCATCAGCGGTGGCCCTACGTGCCTGCACACAGCACAGGCACATGGCGGTTGTGCATGGCACGTGCAAACATGCATGAGTGCGCACAGGCAAGCAGCGGATGTGCATGGCGGGAGAAAGGGAGGAGATGGGGCGGCCACATACAGCCAACGAATGCCGCCATGGCTGTCGTGAAAGCCCCTGGGGGAGATGAATGCAGCAGTCAGAAAGCAGCAGATGGACACAGCCGTGTTATGGGTCGTGTTGTTTTGTGTCTACTTGCAGAGCCTCACGTGATGATTCTGCGACGGTGGTTCTTCTCCTTGAAGTGCGGGTCGGGGAAGAGGAAGAACATCTTGGTCAGCTGCTGGGGGGGAGACAAGCGGAGAGGGTGAGAGTGATGAAAAGAGACAAGACGATGAAGTGCGGGTCGGGGAAGAGGAAGAACATCTTGGTCAGCTGCCGGATAGAAGCAGGGAAGAGGGTGCTTTATTTAGAATTCTAAAAAAATCCCTGTAACGATGAGGAATGAAAGGATGTGGGGATGGAGTGGGGGAGGGGGAGGAGGAGGGGAGAGGAAGAAGACGGGTTAGGAGCGCGGGGATGGTAAGGCAAAAGGAGGCAAGACGGCGAGGTGGGAGGTATTGTCATCTGCCTGTCAACGAGTGGTCAGTGAGTGCACACGCCTCAGTGCAGCGCAACACGTGTACCCACCCACCCACCCACCCACCCACGTGGGCCTTGTTGGAGTATTTCATGGCGTTAGTGCCCGCCTGTGCCTCGTGCGTGCATGCCCCTCCCTCCCTCCCACCTGTGGCGTGTGCCCCTCCCTCCCACCCACCTGTGGCGTGTGCCCCTCCCTCCCACCCACCTGTGGCGTGTGCCCCTCCCTCCCACCCACCTGTGGCGTGTGCCCCTCCCTCCCACCCACCTGGGCCTTGTTAAAGTAGTTGGGAAGGTACTTCATGGCGTTGGTGCGGATCAAGGAGATGTTGGTGTACTGGTGGTGGGGAAGGGGGGAGGAGAGGGCGAATGGGAGAGGGGTCACAAGTTGTTGGTGTCTTGGGGTGGATGGCGAGAGCGGTGAGTTCTAATATGCCTCATGGAGAGTGGTTGGGGAGGTATGTGATGGTGCTGTGCGGTGCAATGAGATGCTGGTGTGCTGGGGAGAGGGTTGGGTTGAGAAGAGGGGTCACAGATTTAGGTGTACCGTGGTGGGTGTGGCGGAAGACGAGAGAGGAGGGAGAGCAGAATGAGGGCACAGAACGTGGAGGAGAGCAGAATGAGGGCACAGAACGTGGAGGAGAGCAGAATGAGGGCACAGAACGTGGAGGAGAGCAGAATGAGGGCACAGAACGTGGAGGAGAGCAGAATGAGGGCACAGAACGTGGAGAGCAGAATGAGGGCACAGAACTGTTAGTGACTATCGGTGACTTAAGAGCGGCGCTCCGCGCGAGACATTAAGGGGCCTTCATCATGGCCTTCTCCTCGTCCACCATGGCCAACCCCATCACCCCGCTCCGCCTTGAAGCCGATGGCTCTAGCTCCAACTTCAAGGCATGGAGCTACGGGGTTGACAAGCACCTCCTGAGTCGTGACGTGCAGGGATTGGACCTCAAGGACGTTCTCCTCAACCGTGGCAAGGGAAAACAGCCCCCTTCCCCCCTTGAGCCGACCGAATCCGCTAGTGATACTGACATGAGGGCGTACGAGGAAGCTGTTGAGACGTACCGGAAATGGGAGAAGGCAGATGCTGCTATCATCAGCGTCTTCATTGCCTCCACCCCTCCCGAACTAGTCAACACGTTCCGCAACTACCCTACCTCCAACGCCATCTGGAATTACCTCCAGGATCGGTTCATGAACAAAACGGCGGTCGGAGTTGCCATCCTCATCCCCAGCATGTTCCAGGTCCGCCTTGAGGACTGCTCGGGAATGGCTGACTACATCGCCAAGGTGCAGACTATTCATGGCGAACTGAAGGAGCTGGGCATTGTCTTCCCCGAACAAGCCCCTGCAGCCGCCCTTCTTGTTGGTCTCACCTCGGCATATGAAGTAACGAGGAAGATGCTCCTCACGCTCTCAGCGGAAGACCTCACATTTGCTAAGGTCTCATCCGCACTCCTCTCTGCTGAGAAAGATTCCACGGCTCAAGCCAAGGCTTACGCCATCCGCGCTTCCATGCCGCAAGCAAGTGTCACATCGTCGGCGCCCTTCGAGCGCAACCGCTTCCCTCCGTGCACCTATGTCGTCAAGTATGGCAACCGCAAGGGACAAGTGTGTGGTGGCACTAACCACCCCCTTGCTACGTGCTTCAAGAAGAAAGACAACGAATGGTATGCCATTCACGGAGTGGACAAGAAGCCGCCAAACTGGATGCGCCCTCGTAAGGCCAACCTAGTTGAGGTCCCGGACCCCGCTTCGGCTAGTGCTAGTGATAGTGATCCTGCTGATGTGCGTACCAACCTGTTGTTTCCTGGCACTGCCATGATTAATGAAGCTTCCTCCCAGTACCTCGGTTCATCACAAGCACCACAATACATAGAGTTCACACTCGACAGCGACGCCACACACACTGTACTCAAGGAGACACTCTCCTTCAAACCCTACGCAACACCCATCCCTCTTTTAGGAGCTGACTCAAGGTTCACCACTCATGCCAAGGGTTCATCCACAGTCCCGTGCCCCGCCTTCCCTTCCGGCACTGTCACTGGAATGTGCGTGCCTTCACTTCGCCACAATCTCGTGGCCCAAACGGAAATTCAAGAAGCTGGGTTACGCACCATCTTCTGGGAGAACGAGAACTATGGTGATATCCTTGACCCACTCACCAACAAGGTCTTGACTCGTTTCACCCTCAACAGCAGCGGCCTTTACACGCTGCAAGTACCCACCCCACAGGTGTCAACCACCCAAACAGCGGCGACTACCTCACCATGCTCGTGCCGCAGTTTCTCCAACCCGACCATACTCTACCACCATCGGCTCGGGCACCCAAACTTCCGCACACTTGCTGACATGGCCTCCAGGAAACTTCTACTCGGCCTGCCAGCCTCACTTCCTCCACCACCAGACTCCCCCGCTCCCACGTGCCTTGATTGCACCAAGAGCAAACTGCGTCAACAGCCCCACCCGGCCTCACCCTCTGTCGCAGCAGGACCACTGGACCTGGTACACCTGGACGTCTGGGGCCCTGCCCCTGTTCCCGCACGAGGTGGTTATCGCTACTTCCTTGTTATCGTCGATGACCACTCTCGCTACGTCTCTGTTCACCTCCTCCACACTAAGGCTGCGGTTCCAGAGGTCCTCATGGCGTGGGTTAAACAGGCACAGAGCACCTTTGACCGCAAAGTCAAGCGCCTCCACTCAGATGGTGGTGGTGAGTTTTGCAACGACAAGCTCAAAGCCTTCTGCTCCTCAGAAGGCATCCAGCAAAACTTCACCCTCCCTGACAGCCCGCAGCAGAACGGCATAGCTGAGAGCCGCAACCACACCCTGGTGCAGATCGCTCGGTGCCTCCTCAGCCACTCCAATGCTCCGCACTCTCTTTGGGGGTACGCTCTCTACCACGCCGCCCTCCTCTACAACCTTTACCCCCACCCGCATCTTCCCGACACCACTCCAACCACACTCTGGCTCGGGAAAACGCCCACTGCTCGCTCTCTTCGCGTTTGGGGGTGCACCGCCTATGTCCTCCTCAACCCTCAGGCTCGACGGCAGCACGGCGGCAAGCTCGGTCCCAAGACCCAGACGTGCATCTACCTCGGGCACAACGCCGACTCGCCTGACTACCTCTTTCTCAATCCCTCCACTCAACAGTTGGTTCGGAGCCGCGACGTTGTCTTTGATGAGACCCGCCCATTCTACTCCACTTCGGGACGCGACCCTCTCCCTGATCCACCCTCCCTCGTGTGGGCAGACTTTGATGCGCCCCCTAACCTCCCGCCTGCTCCGGCCCCTTCACCTCCTACCCCTCCTGCCACCGCACCGTCCCCCTCTGAGGTCTCTGACCCGCCCTCACCGGTGTCTTCGGCAGCTGCTCCTCCATCCCCCTCACTTCCCACTCCGCCGATTGTGCAGGCACCTCCGAGCGCACCTATCACCTACCATCGGCGGTCCCACCCTCCGGCCCCACCTCCTCCCCGGTTCCCCCCAGCACAGAGGAACCCGCTCTCCCACAGTCGCTCGAGCTGATCACGTACCACCGGCGGCCCATTCCCCCGCCCAAGCCTCCTAAGTCAACCCCTCCGATACCGCCTGCCCCACCCTCTTCTCCGGTGGCTCATGGCACTCGTTCGCATGGCGCTGCTCTTCCACTCGCGCTGGATCTTCGATACACGGCGATCACACCGCCTCCTCCTGCTGGGGGGGATGTGCCCTCTACCCTTCTGGAAGACACGCATGAGGAGCTGTGTGATCTTCATGCAGTCATTCCTCAGCTCTCGCACATCTTTCCCGACATCACTGACTCACCCTCCCTCAACTTCGCGGAGAACCCGACCATCCCTATCCCTCTCACCGTCCAAGAGGCTCTCTCAGGCCCTCATGCTGCCGAATGGCGTGCTGCCATGGAAGCGGAGATTGCAGCATTCACCCGCAACCACTCCTTCGATGACGAGACTCCACCTCCAGGAGTCAACATCGTCGGGGGCAAGTGGTTGTTCCGTGTAAAACAGCTCCCAAACGAGGCCCCGGTGTTCAAAGCGCGTTACGTAGCCAGGGGCTTCACCCAGCAGCAGTACCGCGACTTCTTCCGAACCTTCTCCCCCACATCCAAACCTCCCACCATTCATACGCTCATGGATGTCGCAGCTTGAGAAGACTTTGAGATCAAATCCATGGATGCCTCATCGCCTTCCTACAAGGACGTCTCAAGGAGACAGTGTTCATGGACAGACCAGAAGGCTTCCCAGGAGAATTCCCTCCCAACACTGTCTGGAAGTTGAATCGCCCCGTCTACGGCCTTAAGCAAGCCCCTCGCGAATGGCACAACAAGGTGAAAGAAGTCCTCCTCTCCCTGGACTTCCACCTTTCCACTGCTGACCCGACTCTCTTCATCCGCCGTCATTCTGAGCCATTCTACATCCTGGTCTACGTGGATGATTTCATCCTCGTTGCCAAGGACTCAGCCCAGATGACCTCTGTCCAGGCAGCCCTGAGCAAGGCCCTCCAGATGAAAGACCTCGGTGACCTCAAGCACTACCTGGGGATGGAGATCACTCGTGATCGCCAGGCTCGCACCATTTCACTCTCCCAGGAGTTCTACATCGACAATGTGCTCAAGCGGTTTGAGATGGAGCTGTGCACACCTGTTGCCACCCCGCAGCCGCTGCAACACCTCCTCACAGCTCCAGCTGTACCCACACCAGAGGCCTGCTCTGAGCCATACCCGGAGCTTGTTGGGTCCCTCATGTACGCCATGATGTGCACCCGACCGGACTTGGCCTATCCTGTCAGTGTCCTCTCTCGCTACGTGGCCCCTGGACGCTTCACTGATCTTCACTGGAAGGCGACGAAGCGGGTGCTGCGCTATCTTAAGGGCACCAAGTCTCACGTTCTCACACTCGGTGGGCTCTCCCCTCCTCGCCTAGAAGGTTACACCGACTCCTCCTGGGCTGATTACCAGACCGACCGACGCTCCTCTCAGGGGTACTGCTTCACCCTTGGGAGCGGAATTGTCAGTTGGCGCTCCACCAGGTCGTCTGCAGTCTCCCTCTCCTCCTGTGAGGCAGAGCTCTACGCTGGCACCATGGCTGCTCAGGAGGCCCGTTGGCTCACCTTCCTACTCCAGGAGCTTGGTTTCCCACAGTCCGCCGCCCCCACCCTCTGGTGTGACAACCAGAGTACCATCCACATCTCTCAAGACCCTGTGTATCACACCCGCACCAAGCATATTGAACTCCGGCACTTCTTCATCCGTGACCTTGTCCAACTGGAGCAGCTGAAAGTGGAATACGTTGCATCTGACTGCAACCTGGCTGATCTGTTCATCAAGCCCCTTGGGAAAGTTCCCCACCACCTTCTCCTTGGCGCCATGGGACTCTGTGCTCCACCCTCTCTACCCTGAGTTCGATTGATGTCTATGGGAGGGTGTTAGTGTTAGCCTTCAATCTCACACTTTGTACTTTGTATTTTCTATATCCTAGAGTAGTGTAGTTTGCACATTGTGTTTGGTTGGGTGTACACCTATATCCCAACCAAACCCTAATGTAATCTCCAAGCAATCTCCAACCCACCAATTGGAGATTGCCTTGGGATTACCCCCAATCCCTAGGGATTGCCCCCGATTCCCTTCCCCATCCATTCCCTCCCCTTTTTGGATGTACTTAAAGAGCTTCAAGCTCATTACTAATGTATCGCTTCTAAGCCTAAGTTCTAACAAGAACGTGGAGGAGAGCAGAATGAGGGCACAGAACGTGGAGGAGAGCAGAATGAGGGCACAGAACGTGGAGGAGAGCAGAATGAGGGCACAGAACGTGGAGGAGAGCAGAATGAGGGCACAGAACGTGGAGGAGAGCAGAATGAGGGCACAGAACGTGGAGGAGAGCAGAATGAGGGCACAGAACGTGGAGGAGAGCAGAATGAGGGCACAGAACGTGGAGGAGAGCAGAATGAGGGCACAGAACGTGGAGGAGAGCAGAATGAGGGCACAGAACGTGGAGGAGAGCAGAATGAGGGCACAGAACGTGGAGGAGAGCAGAATGAGGGCATAGAACGTGGAGGAGAGAAGAATGAGGGCACAGAACGTGGAGGAGAGCAGAATGAGGGCACAGAACGTGGAGGAGAGCAGAATGAGGGCACAGAACGTGGAGGAGAGATGGCGGGGAAGCAACAAGAAAGGAAGGGGAGTAATTTTACAGGTCGCTTAAAGTAAGAGTGCACCCGACAATAACAATCGGAGAGACAAGTAAATGAGAAGAATTAAGGTTGAGCAAGAAGAGCATGGAATCCGCAGGACAAACAGAAGTGAGGCGTTGCAAGGTGAGGAAAGAGGGAATGGTGAGCTAGCAGGCGAGAAAGGAAATGACCAGTGGCCAGGAGAGGGGGAGAGGGGGGAGAGAGAGGCAGAATGACTCTTGAGAATTCGCGAAAGGGAGGCGGGTACCTGGGAGGGGTGTACCTGGGAGGGGTGTACCTGGGAGGGGTGTTGCTGCCGGAGAGCAAGAATGCGGTCCTTCACATACTCGCTCACCTGTGGGGAAGGGGTGGAGTGGGGGATAACAGAACGTGGGGCTGTGAGGCGTACTCACGTACTCGCTCACATGGGGGTTAGGGGGGATGACATGACAAAACGGGAGAAAGCGTGTAGAGTGTGAAGGAGATGGCACGTGAGAGGAGCAAGCAAGGATAATGGAATGCACATACACACACGCATGCACGCACGCACACGCAACTCACCCACCCCCATCTTCCACACACACACAGATCACACGTCAACGTTATGCCTGCGGCTATTGTGAACAACACAACGGGCGGCCAGCTGGATAGCGTACTTTGTCACGTAGCTCGAAGCCAACCATGAGTGTATTGGGAAACATGGGAGACAGCTTAACTGCAACAAACGGGCAAAACAGGGGGTGGGGGAGGGGAGCGGGAGCGGGGGAGGGGAGAGGGAGCGGGGGAGAGGGGCGAAGAAGAAGGGGGGGGGGGGGGGGGGGAGGGGGGGGTAGAGAAGAGAGCAAGCGAGTGTGGGGAAGATGGTAAGGGAGCGAAGGGCGAGTGGTGCGAAAGTGAGGTCTGACGACGTGAAGGTGCAGTGAGATGGAGAGGAGAGGTGCACTTGCCACTTGGCAGAGAAAGGCGGGAGAGAGGAGCAAAGGAGAAGCGGGCGAAGATGCATGCAGTGGTGAGACCAGCATGCACGTCCAGTAGCACAAACCACCAACGCACCTAGCAGGCCGCCAAAGCCACACCCGACATCAGCAAAGCGGACCATTGGTTGCCCCGTGCTGCTGGTCGGTGCAGCGGCTGTGGCATGCTGCTGTGCCGCTCCTGCAAGCAACGCACGAGCAGAAGGAGAAGGAGCATCAATGAAAAGCCATTCCTTTCACCTCTTACCCCACCGCACCCATCTCATGCACCCACATCCCACAATCTGTACCCTCTCATCCCTACTCTCCCTCGCCCCTTTGTCCCCAAATCCCTCACTCTCATCACCGCCCTCACCACAGCCCACTCCCTAGCTTCATCATCTCCAACGCCCACTACCCATGCCGTCAGTCAACACGACTCAATCCGCACCATCTCGTGCTGCTGAAGCACCTCCCTCCCCCTCAGCTGCAGCAGCAGCACAGCCACCAGCAGCAGCGCCACCAGCCGCATCACTGGCTGCGCCCTCAGCAGCAGCAGGTGGGTGCGCTGCGGCAGGAGTGGGGGGGAAGAACACGGGGAAGTGCGCAGACCAGTCCACCTCCGCGGGGCACACGGGGCTGCACGTGGGGCGCACGGGGGAGAGGTAGGGGAAAAAGGGGGGGGGGAGGGGGGGAGGGGAGGGTAGGGGGGGAGGGGGAGGGGGAAGAGGGGATTGGAGTGGGGGGGGGGGGGGGGTGGGTTGCCAAAAAAAGGGCGGAATTGGAGGGGAAGGGACGCAGGGGAGGCAAGAAGGGCGCAAGCAGAGGTGCGAAACGGCAAGGTGAGAGGGTGCTGGAGAGTGCCGGTGGATTGCTGCCCGCGTGTTTGTACGTCTGCCTGTCGGGGCAAAACCCACGAGACAAACCCCGACCCCGGACCCCTGGCGAGCATATTGTGGTTTCTGTGCGAAGCACTGCCTGAGAGTTAGCAGTGAAACTCTTAACTGGGCTTGACCGCGTTTGATGCGCCCAGACCTCAAACCCTAACGCAGCCTCGTGTAATGCGAATCATCCCAGCACTTGCCTGACGGCAGACAATGCGCAGATTAAACCTAACCAGACCCTAATCCTAACGAGGACGAGCCGGAAAGGCGAATTAAGCCAGGCTGACGAAATTCTCGTTCGTCTTGGCCAAGGGAATGGCCGGAGGGCAACGGTAACCGCCAAGCTCGGAGCGCTCTTCCCGTCGTACACTCTATCCTCACATTATTTCCTAGCACACAATACTCCCGACACACTCCATCCCATATGATTTCTTTCCGGATGCGATCCACCTGACAGACAGCAGTCATCGAATAGCCTATGGCACGAACGGCTGTCGGCTTACGTAGAGGAGGACAGCGACAAATGCGATGGACTCGATCTAACGGCTGAAAGCACCATACGCCTGAATCCGACGGTAGAGGATGGGAGAGACGGTTACACTGGAAAGAGATTGTCGCTGAGGGGGTTGCTGTGCGCTCGAGCGCGGTAGAAGCGCTTCTGCGGCAACGCGGCGCCGCTGCTGCCTGGCGGCTTGCGCTGCTGGTTCGCCTTCATTCTGGCGGACGCAGTACGGCCTTTGTGGGTACTACTGGAGGAAGGAACGCGGCGCTACAAGGACGAGCATGCGTGGTGGAGCACTGAAGCCGAGTGGTCAGTCAGGTGTGCTTCCTACGGGGTGTTCCTGCTTGGTGTCGGGGAGAGGAAGTTCGGTGCAAGTCACATTCACTTCGAGATGCGTGCATTCCGTTTGGGGTCACAGTTACACTTTCGCGTTGCGAAATTTGGACGAGTGAATTACAGCGTTTGACAACTCGCTCACCAGCTCGCAGTGAGTTACACAACCGACTTTGCATCCGTGGTTCGCACAAGTACAGTACGGACGCGTCCTTATGGAATCTCACGCATTTTGTGTTGCAGTAAGCTATAGTACGGTGCTGAGAGGTGAACAACAAATTGCGGAATGCACAGATGTATTTGGCGTCAATACAGCAGCACGCCCAGCCTTCTTATCGCGTATGGCTCACATTCAGACAACTCCAGCTGCATGAATGCCTCGTATTGACGCGTACGAGAGCTCCGGAAGGAAACATAACCCTGCCAGCATGGCTGGCGGATTCAAGGCCAGATTGGCGGGAGCAAGGTGGATAAACTCTCGCTGCACGCGCCGTTTCCAAGCGTTTCCCGACGTGGAACCAAGTGGCTTGGGACGGTGGCGGAATGAGCAGTATTGACCTAGCACTGCTCCGTCGGTCTGCCAGATACCGAAATCATCTGCCAGGTATCTGGCAGTGGACCACGGTTGCACCGATTGTGCTGCCTAATTCCCAATCGATTGTGGACAGGGCGTGAGAGAACCACTTTTGAGGTTTCGGAGTTCATCACAGTAAAGGCTCACTCGGCCTCTGCAACCAGATCTCGCGCTCACGACATGGAGGCCTCAGGTTCGTGCTTGCCAAATTTCATTTTCCGCCATTTTTCCTAACTTACGGTGAATCTAATCCCTTTTCCAGTCCCGTTTAATATCCTACCCTCTTCCCCTTGCATGTCTCCCCGCTACTCCCCCTCACGGTTTCATGATCCCTCAGCGAGCTCCTCTCCTGATGCAGTCGACATGCTGCCAGCCGCTCTCTGGCTGCGAATCTTCCACCATCTGCACCTGCCGCCCTCCCACCCAGACCATCCTGCGATCTGCGGCCAAAGGCACACTCCCCGCGGTCTCGCGACGCCTATCATAGAGCGGACAGGTGCCCGTGATCAGGAGCTGTTTAGCATCTATGCGCCCCCTGGCTGTGAGCAGTCGGGCGACCCTGCTGGGGTGAGTTTTGAGGCGCCTATCATAGAGAGGACGGGTGCCCGTGGTCTTGAGCGGTTCAGCATCTATATGTCCCCGTCTTCTGGCAGTGAGCTGTCAGGCGGCCCTGCTGGCAGCACGCAGAGCGGAGGAAGCAGCGACCAGCTCACTGCCCATTTCACCGAGTTTTTCCCAGTGGATTGCGAGCCACTGGGGTTACGTGACGACGGCCTCACTGCCACTGAGCAGTGGGCCGACCCTGCTGGCAGCACGCGGAGTGAAATCAGCGGCCATCTCACCGGGTTCGATATTGATTGCGAGATACTGGATTCCCGGTGCGAGGGTGGCAGTGAGGAGGGCGGATCTGAGGAGGGCGGATCTGAGGAGGGCGGATCTGAGGAGGGCGGATCTGAGGAGGGCGGCACTGGGGAGGGCGGCACTGGGGAGAGCCCGACTGCCCGCGAGCAGTACGAGAAGAACTCCCACACCTTTGGTGCCTCGTGGCCTCTGCTCTGCTGTGCTCTCGCCAGCAAGAGGCTTCTCTATCTCGTCATCGCCTTCTCTGTAAGCGCTCGTGCTCGCTACTTGTCTCTCCTTCACAATTCTCTCGTGTCAGTTTCGCTGAGCAAATCTTGCATTTGCTCACTCCCAAAAAGTCAGGCTTTCATGTTAGCCATCGGTGCAGTGCAGTCCACCCGTGAGTGTCAGCTTTCAGCCTTGAGCTTGCATCCAGCTTTTATTTCTTGTTCATGTTTTCTTGTTCACCCATAAATCACAGGAGGGCCACCCCATTTCGCTCAGGTACAACGCCCAGCGCCCACAGTGGATGCGGACCATCCGCTTCTTCCTTGCCCACCCAGGCCTGCACTCCCTTCACCTCCGCTTCTCCAATCCCGAGCATCTCCCCACTCTCGGCGCCTGCATCGCTCGCAGCAGCCCCTCCCTCTCGTCCCTCCGCCTGGAGCTGCAAGGCACGGTTGACTTCAAGGAGCAGCAGAACGAGCACTGGACGCTGGGATTTCTCAGGCCTTGCGGCCAGCTGCAGGAGTTGAATCTGGGGTGGGGCATGTGAGTTCTGAACGGGGAGTGCGCAGATGCTGCATGGCTCAAGTCTCTCCGCAGTCTGACCTTGGAGCGGGTGGCGTTCAAGAATGTGAGCTTCCAGTTTTTGGACTCCATCTCGCCGCAGCTGCACGAGTTTACACTCTACGAGGAGAGCGACCTGATTTTTGGCCCCCGCCTTGCCTCCCACACACTCGCCCTCTCCTTCCGCTTCCGCTTTGCCAACAGCAAGCTCAAGCTCACCCTCACCGTCTCGCCTGCTCTAAAGACTCTGTCAGTGATGGCCAAACAGCTTAGCCTCAACTGCAAGAGCACCGCCCCTCTCGCTCTCCACCACCTCTCGCTGTACGGCCAGGAGCAGCTTGTTATCTCCTCCCTCCCCCTCGCATCCGCCAGGGTTGCCTACTTGGACGGACCTGCAAGTGACCAAGAGGGTTTTACCAGGGCTGCTTATTTGGATGGGCCCAACAGTGACTCTGAGAACAGCTTTTGGACGGAATGGCTTGGCGCTATAGCGCCTACAGTGGAGGTGCTTATAGTGAGGCACGGGGTGCCTATAGAGAAGGTGGATGCAGAGTGGACGAGGCTGCACAGCCTTGGGATTGTCGTGCACACCAAGGGGACGCATGTTTGGGACAGGGAGGCCACTGTGGATAACTATAGGTTCCTTACGGACGATGTGATTGGTGGATATTGCGACGATGAAGAGGATGAGGAGGAGGATGACCATGATTGGGACACTCGTGATGCTGACGAGGAGGATGAGTGGTATCAGCAGGCACGAGCACGTTATGGTGCCCCCACCGGAAGCAGGCACAAGATTCTGCAGGAGGCGAAGGCCTGTGCCAAGCCTTCGTCCATCGGTGCTCCGAATCTTCGGTTCCTGTTCTTCCCATCCAGCAAGGCGAGTGACGCCGCCACACTGGCTGCACTGCGGCAGGACTACCCCGCCCTGGCGCTCTACTGTGTGGTGGACCGCTCCTTCTACTGGCACAGGAAAGGGGTGCCTGTGAGCAATGCGCCGCTCGAGCATGTGCAACGGACCAAGAGTGGGGTGGTGATGACTACCGGTCGTGGCGAGAAGCGTGCAAAGAATGTGAGGGAGAAGATGCATAGTGTGAACTTGACACTGGTGGAGGGGTACTGTGCTGAGGAGGATGAGATGTATGCACTCACATTGAAGGAACGTGCCTTTTATTAGCCTTCAGGCGTGAGTACGATAGCTTGCGCGATATCTTGTCCCTCTGTTTGCTTTACACATTCAATCGTGTCAGTAATGCAGTTCTGTCAGAGTTGATTTGTCTTGCTCGATTTCTGTGTCTAGCTGGTTAGTATATACTGGTATGTGTGAGGACTTGAATTAATGTACTATGTTTCATTCGGGCACAGTATGCAACGAGTTACACAATGCACACCTAGCACCCACTTTCTATCGCGTACGCCGAAACATTCCTGAGGCGACAATCCCATTCCACCCTTGGGAACTCTAGCCTCGACCATGGCTGTCACATCACAAAATTGCGAGCATCAACGCGGTTCTCATCTCAGCGCGCGCTCTCGCGCAACCAGATTGAGCAGAAGCGAGGGTTCCCAGGTAGCGCTGCCGGAGGGGCGCAATGTTTTATGGCAAGGGGGGAGAACCCGCAGGGACGAACATTTTGGACCTTTTCGCTCCTCCTCGGGAATTTCAGTGCTCGAGTGTCTGATGTGAAATGCGTTCTGAACCAGCCTGGCATAGCCTGACGCAACAGAGTAACCTAGGGTATCAATCGACAGCTTCGTTTCGGCATACGTGGTCCTGGCTGCGTGCGTGCCGTGCTGGGTGTGGTCCCGGCCACGTACGAAAGGGTTGACCGGAAGTTTCATTCCCTGGGTGAACGGATCTCGCCATTGGTGACGGCGCTGCCTCGTTGTGAAACTCTAGGGTTGTTTCAACATCTCGAATCTCTTGGGATCTTGCACAGAGTGCCACTGAATGAGCAGGTAGCTCTGTATCTTGGTATCCTGCAGCGGCTGAGCAAGGCTTCCCTGAGTGGAAGGAGCGAAAAATGCCATCATGCCGACGCTCACTGACTCTCACTGACGCTCACTGACTCTCACTGACGCTCACTGAGGATTCCACAAATCTCAGCCTAGAAGTTTGCTTAGCGTTGTTTCTGTTCCTAGCCCTGCTTGATACGTGCAGCAAATGTCCCTAGTCCTCTCGAGTCCTTTCCGCCAGTGCCAATCGCACCATCAAGCCTAGTAAGGCCAGCACGTGATATACTCCCGCGCCGCTCTCGCCCGCTCATTCCCTGTAACCGAAATCGCTGAGACGATGGAGGCTTCAGGTCCGTGCTGGTTAAGGTTTTGTTTTTCCGCCACCTTTCGTAAAGCGAACCAGTCCCGTTAAGTCTTCCTTCCCACTCCCTCCTGCTTGTCTCTTTCTCTTTCCCGATTTCCCCCACCCTCACTCTTCTCCCCTTCTTTTTGGTTCGTCCTGCAGCCAACAACCCCCCTGATGCAGTCGGCATGCTGCCAGCGCCTATCTGGTTTCGAATCTTCCGCCTTCTGCATCAACCGCCCTCCCAACCGGACGACCCTGCTGTCCTCGCCCATAGGGAAGCCCCTGAGGATCCTGCTGCGAAGGCAGCGCGATTGGCTGCCCGTGAGGCTGAATGGATCCGCACTCCTGGGTTCACTGCCTGGCAACCGTGGGGCCACCCTGCAAGCAGCGCCGGGCTCACTGCCTGGGGCCAGCTGGGCCAGCCTGCAAGCAGCGCAGGGCTTACATCCCAGCTGGGCCAGCTGAGCCGCCCTGCAAACATCACAGGGCTTACTTCCCAGCCGAGCCAACCTGCATGCAGCACAGGGGTCACTGCCCAGCTGGGCCTCCCTGCAAACAGCACAGGGATCACTGCCCAGCTGGGCCTCCCTGCAAACAGCACAGGGATCACTGCCCAGCTGGGCCTCCCTGCAAGCAGCACAGGGCTCACTGCCCAGCTGGGCCTCCCTGCAAACAGCACAGGGCTCACTGCCCAGCTGGGCCTCCCTGCAAACAGCACAGGGCTCACTGCCTGGGGCCAGGTGGGCCACCCTGCAAGCAGCGCAGTGCGCGCTCTCCAAATGTTTTACGCTGAATTTGGCTTGCCGGGCCACTCTGGAAGCAGCGCAGGGCTCACTGCCTGGGACTGGCAGGGCGACCCTGCAAGGAGCACGCAGAGGGGAACCGGAACCCGTGACCATCTCATCAACACCAGGGTTGATCGCAAGCCACCAGTTGTGTTCTTGAAAGAGGGCCTCACTGCCAGTGAGCAGCATGAGAAGAATTCTTCCACCTATGGCGCATCATGGGCTCTGCTCTGCTGCGCCCTCGCCAGCAAGAGGCTTTTCAAACTTGTCGTTGCTTTCTCTATAAGCGCTCTCTACTTGTGTTTCGCCTTCACAAAGTTCCCTCTTTCCGCTTTTTCCTGGTAGATCTTGCCCGTTCTCGTCCAGCTTTCATCGACCTGTCAGCTTGACCACCTATGCAGTGCACCCGTGAATATCACCCTCCAACTTCTTTTTCACCTTTCAGATTTCAATTGAGCTTGAAGATTCATTTCGGCTTTCAGATTTTATTCCGGCTTTCACATTTCATTCTGGATTTCACATTTCATTTTAGCTTTCAGATTCCATTTTAGCTTTCAGATTTCAATTCAGCTTTCAGAATTCGTTCCAGCTTTCAGATTTCATTCTTGCGTTCACATTTCATTTTAGCTTTAGGTTTTAAATTCAGCTTTCAGATTTCATTCAAGCCTTCACATTTCATTTTAGCTTTCAGATTTCATTTCAACTTTCAGCTTCCATTTCAACTTTCAGCTTCCATTTCATCTTTCAGCTTCCATTTCATCTTTCAGATTCCATTTCATCTTTCAGCTTCCATTTCATCTTTCAGCTTCCATTTCATCTTTCAGCTTCCATTTCATCTCTCAGCTTCCATTTTATCCTTCAGCTTTCAGATTTCATCTCAGCTTCCAGCTTTCAGCTTTCACTTCACCTTTCAGCTTTCAGCCTTTAGCTTTCACTTGTCTTTCACTCGTGCATGGGGATGGATGATGTCTCCACAGTCGTTGGCAGCAAGGACCTAGAATATATGCACCTGCTGTGTGTGCTTGTGCTGGTGATGCTGAGCACCAGGTGTGTCATGAAGCCAGCTTTCACACCTCAGCTGCCTCAAATCTCCCATTCTTCCACGTTTTCCCACCCCACGCACTTACAATAGCGGCATGGCTCAAGCCGATTTGCAAGCTGACCCTGGAGCATGCGGATTTCGAGAGCTTGAGCTTCCAGTTTCTCGGGACCATCACGCCACAGCTGCACGAGTTTACGCTCTACGAGGACGGCAACATCTCTCGCCTCCGTGACGCCGTAGGAGGTTCCACCTTGCCCCCCATCAGCCTCGCCTTCTCCTTCTCCAACGCCCGCCTCCTCCGCTTCTGCTTTGCCAAGACTGAGCTACAGCTCACCCTCACCGTGTCGCCCTCGCTCGAGAGCCTATCAGTGATGGCCAAGTGGCTCGTGCTCTCCTGCAAGAGCACCGCCCCTCTCGCTCTCCACCACCTCTCGCTGTACGGCCAGGAGCGCCTCGTCATCTCCTCCCTCCGCCTCGCATCCGCCAGGGTTGCCTACTTGGACGGTCCTGGCAAGGATCAAGATGGTTTCTCCTGGACCGAATTGCTTGGCGCTATAGCTCCAACGGTGGAGGTGCTTATTGTGAGGCACGGTGTGTCTTTAGAGAAGGTGGATGCAGAGTGGGGGAGGCTGCGGAGCCTTGGGATTGTCCTGCCACCGTGGGACAAAGATGCTCGTGCGAACAGCTGGAACATAAGAATGGTCACAAATGGTGGTGAGTGTGAGGAGCATTTAGACGATGGCAGGTTGCGGTTTTCTTGGGAAGATGACCCCGGTTATTTGAGCAAAGAGCCGGATGAGGAATTGCATGAGGATGAATGGATGTTTGATGATGCTGCCGATGATGATGAGGATGATAATGATGGCGATGATGGTGTTGGTGGGGATGAGTATTACCGCCTCGCATGGCAAATGTATGGTCCAGCCATTAAAGCCAGGATGAGGGCTCGGCGGCGGATGAAGAAGGCCTTCCCCAAGCCTCCGCCCATCTGCGCTCCGAATCTGCGGTTCCTCTTCTTCCCCACCCGCAAGGCGTGTAATGCGCCTGCACTGGCTGCACTGCGGCAGGACTACCCCGCCCTGGCGCTCTACTGTGTGGTGGACCGCTCCTTCTACTGGCACAGGAAAGGCAAGACAGTGAGCAATGGGCCGCTCGAGCATGTGAGGAGCGAGAAGAGTGGGGTGTGGGATGAAGAAGAGGGGAAGCGGGCCAAGAATGTGAGGGAGAAGATGCACAGTGTGAAAAGGAAGCTGGTGGAGGGGTACTGTGCTGGGGAGGACCAGATGTACGTGGTGCAGTACCAGTAGAAAGGATGCTTCTAATATTCACTACCTGCCATGTATGGGTAACTTGCACTTTTTGTTTGGTTTAACCAGGAAATAGCATGTTACTGGGTGAGGCTTTGGACGTGGTAACATATGCAGGATTTATGATATTATATTTTACCAGTTACGCTAAGATCTTGTTTCATGAATGAGTCTAACTTTGAGGTTAGCAATCTGGATATAAATTAATACTTACCAACAGAACAATCGGTGGAAACCCGTTCTGGGAGCAAAGTTCTCAACTTTCTATCGCGTACGGGGACACATTCTGACTCCTGAGCTGACCTTTTCGCGCTTGGGATCTCCAGCTCCAGCATGGCTGTCGCGTAACGAGATTCACGCAGTTCTCAGCAGGCCATGTCGGTAGCTTGCACTCTGGCACAACCAAATTTGAGCAGAAGCGAGAGTTTCCAGGTAGAGCTGTCGGGGAGAAGCAGGGCAGGCGGCGGAAATTCGTACGGATGAGCATTTCGTACCTTGTGGCTCCTCCTCGGGAACTCCACTGTGCTTGACTGCCTAACGGATAACTGGTTCGCCAGCGTCAATTGGGGCGTCGCTGTTTCTCATCCCATTGCTAGTGCCTTCTCGCTCCCCTCCCGCTGCCAGCGTTCACGAGGGGGTTCGCGGAAACAAGTGTCCTAGTAACAAGGACAATTGTTTAGTTTTTTCTTGCCTGCGGGCCGCACTACACGACAGGTTGGGGCTACTGTAGCCGTATGAACATCCCAAAACCAACGAGCAGCAATTATCGACGTGAAATGTGTCCTGAACCAGCGTGGCAGACCCTGACGCGACGGAGGAACCTAGGGTATCGATCGACAGCCCCGTTTCGGCATACATGGTCCCGGCTGCGTACGTGTCGTGCTGGCGGTGGTCCCGGCCACGTACGAGAGGGCTTACCAGAGGGTGTCCAGGATTCGTTCCCTCTGTGTCTAGGCGTTACCATTGGTCAGCGTCTAACGCTGTTGCAGACTTCAAGTGCCGCCTGGGTGTAGAACTCCAGGATTGCTGTGAAGCAGCATTGCTTAGGGAATTTCCTGGGCTCTTGCACCAGGGAGTTTCACTGAATGGGCAACGTAGCTCTGCATCTTGGTATCATGCAGAGGCTAAGCAGGGCTATCTTGAGTGGCTTGCTTGGTTCTGATATTCTGTGAAAGGAGCAAGGGAAGGCTTATCACTGGTACCGAGCGGGACATGGGAAAACGCCATCATGCCGACGCTCACTGACGCTCATTGACATTCACTGATGCTCACTGACATTTACTGACGTTCACTAACGCTCACTGACGCTCACTGACTTTTGCTGAGGAGTTAGCAGCTTTCGCCTTCTGACGTCTTTCCTGTGCCTAGCCCTCTCTGATACATGCAGCAACTATCCCTAGTCCTCCCGAGTCCTTTCCGCCAGTGCCAGTCTCTCCATCAAGCCTAAGGCCAGCACGAAATCTACACCCTCGCTGCTCTCTCCCATCAATTTCTCCAACCGAATCGCTGAGACGATGGAGGCTTCAGGTCCGTGCATGTTGAAGCTCCCTTTTCCGCCATTTTTCTTTTTTAGGCTTAAGTGAACCCATTTTTGCCAGTCTCGTTAAGTCTCGATAAAGCCGCTTTTCCTCCCTTTCGGTTCATGCTGCAGTCAACAACCCCCCTGATGCAGTCGAGATGCTGCCAGCGCCTATCTGGTTTCGAATCTTCCACCTTCTGCATCAACCACCCTCCCAACTGGACGACGCTGCTATCATCCCCCAAAGGGAGGAGAAGAATACAGAAACTGGCTCTGATGATTCCGAGACAGAAGAAGAATCAGATTCCGAGACAGAAGAAGAATCAGAGGAAGAATCAGATGAAGAATCAGAGGAAGAGGCAGAGGATGAGGTAGAAAAGGAGGCAGAGCGGCTGGATGCCCGTGAGGTTGAATGGTTCCGCACCCCTGGGTTGTCTAACACCAAAACTAGCGACCATCTCACCAACACCAAGGTTGATCGCGATCACCCGCCAGTTGTGTTCCGGGAAGAGGGCCTCACTGCCAGAGAGCAGCACGAGGATAACACTGACACTTATGGCGCTTCATGTGCTCTGCTCTGCTGCGCTCTCGCCAGCAAGAGGCTATGTAATTTCGTCGTTGCTTTTTCTGTAAGCTCTCTCTATTCATGATTCACTTTCCGTGTCCACTTTCGCCAGGAAGATCTTGCACTTTTTCAGTGCACCTGTAAATATGAGCTTCCATCTTTCATTTCAGCTTTCAGCTTCCATTTCATTTTTCAGATTTCATTGCAGCTCTCGTTCGGCTTTCAGCTTTCATTTCAGATTTCATTGCTGCTCTCATTTCAGCTTTCAGCTTTCATTTCAGTCTCACCTTTCAGTTTCGGATTTGGTTTCGAGTCCGCTTTCCACTCTCAAATTTCAGTCCAGCTTTGAGACTTAATTTCTGCTTTCATATTTCATTTATGCTTTCAGATTTCATTTCAGCTTTCAGCTTTTGTTGCAGCTTTCAGATTTCATTCCAGCTTTAAAATTCAATTCAGCTTTCATATTCTAGCTGTCATATTTCATTTTTGCTCTTCTTTCAGCTTCCAGCTTAAAATTCAGACTTTCATCTCTTTGTATTTTTTTTTTCCAGCTTTCAGCTTTGATTTCAGCGTCCAGATTTCGTTTCAGCGTTCAGATATCATTTCAGCTCCTCAGATTCCATTTAAACTTTCAGAATTAGTTCCAGCTTTAAGCTGTGCGGTCCCAAATCAGCTTTCAGTTTAGCTTTCAGCTTTCCTTTCAGATTTCCAACCTTCAGTTCATCTTTCAACGTTTATTTCACCTTTCAGGTTTTTTATTTCAGCCCTCAGCTTTCACTTGGCTCTCACCTTTCCATGTTATGGATGACGTTTCCCACAGTCGTTAGCAGCAAGAACAAAAAAATCTTGCAGTTGCTGCTTGTGCTGCCGACGCTGAGCACCTGGTGTGTCCCGAAACCAACTTTCACACTTCATTTCTCTCAAATCTTCCACTCTTCCACATTCTCCCACCCCACCCACTTACAATCGCAGGAGATCCAGCCCATCTCGCTCGTTTACAACGATTGGAACCCCCACTGGTCGCAGACCGTCCGCTTCTTTCTCACCCGCCCGGATCTTCACTCCCTTCACCTTCGCTTTTCTCGCCCCGATCATCTCCCCACTCTTGGCACCTGCATCGCTCGCTGCAGCCCCTCCCTCTCGTCCCTCCACCTGGAGATGCAAGGCACTGTTGGTTCCTCCAAGGGCCAGGAGAGCGAGTCCTGGCCGCTGAGTTTTCTCAAGGACTGCGCCCAGCTGCAGGAGTTGAATCTGGGGCGGGGCATGTGGAAACTCAATTGGCAATGTGTGAACACGTCATGGTTCAAGTCGATCCGCAAGCTGACTCTAGAGCACATTCATTACGGCAGCATGAGCTTCCAATTTATTGAGATTATTACACAGCAGCTGCACGAGTTCACTCTTTATGAGGACGGGAACATGCTTCGTGAACATCCTCACGTGCCCTCCGCCACCACCCTCGCCTTCTCCTTCCCCAATGCCCGCCTCCTCCGCTTCCGCTTTGCCAGCACTGAGCTGCACCTCACCCTCACCGTCCCGCCCTCCCTCGAGACTCTCTCAGTCGTGGCCAAACGGCTGGTCCTCTCCTGCAAGAGCACCGCCCCTCTCGCTCTCGACCACCTCTCGCTGTACGGCCAGGAGCAGCTTGTTATCTCCTCCCTCCGCCTCGCATCCGCCCGGGTTGTCTACTTGGACGGACCGGCCAATGACCAGGAGGGTTTTTCCTGGGCAGAATGGCTTGACATTATAGCACCAACAGTGGAGGTGCTTATTGTGAGGCACGGGGTGCCTATAAAGAAGGTGGAGGCGGAGTGTGGGAGGTTGCTGAGCCTTGGGATTGTCGTGCCTCCCTGGGACAGGGATACTCGTGCAAACAGCTGGAGTACGGGATACAGCACAGATGATGAGAGTGAGTGTGAGGAGCATCTAGACGATGGCAGGTTGCGCTTTTCTTGGGCGGATGAACCGGGTTATTCCGGCTCGGAGCCGGATGAGGAAGTGGATGAGGATGACTATATGTTTGATGATGATGCTGAGGACGAGGATGAGTATGATGATGCTTATGATGGTTTCAGTGATTATGGTTGTGGTAAGTATAACCGGCAGTTTTGGGAAATGTATGGTCCAGCCATAAACGCCAAGATAAGGGAACGGGAGCGGCTGCTGAAGGCCTTCTTCAAGCCGCCGTCCATCCGCGCTCCAAATCTGCGGTTCCTCTTCTTCCCCACCCGCAAGGCGTGTAATGCGCCTGCACTGGCTGCACTGCGGCAGGACTACCCCGCCCTGGCGCTCTATTGTGTGGTGGACCGCTCCTTCTATTGGGAGAGGAAGGGCAAGATGGTGAGCAATGCGCCGCTCGAGCATGTGAGGCGGGCAAAGAGTGGGGTGTGGGATGAAGAAGAGGAGGAGAAGCGGCCCAAGAAAGTGTGGGAGAAGATGCACAGTGTGAACAGGAAGCTGGTGGAGGGGTACTGTGCTGAGGACGACCAGGTGTACGAGCTGCAGTTCCAGTAGAAGTGATTCTTCTAGTACCGCATTTGCCTCCAGGCCTGGGTAACTTGCTCTCTTGATGGTTTCAGCAGCCGGTAGCACGACATGACGATTGCATGAATTGGAGGAGGTAGCAGAAGCATACAATTCAGGCCCTACGATATCAGGAATTTTTTCCTGGAATTCCTGATTTTCAGCCTAGTTTTGTGTACCTACACTGAATTTTCAGTGTTGAGATTTTTGTGACACTGATTTTTTCAGCCTTTACTTCATAGCTAACACTGATGTTTCAGACTTATATCGAAGTGTACACTGAATGCACATTCCGAATCCTTCCCGTAAAACACCCGAGACAATAAGTCAACCAACATTTCGGCATAATAAAATCTTATAAAAAAAAAAGGCTGACTCGATGAACTGGCTTAGTGGTTAGCGAAGTAGATACCGATTGGTAAGGTTTCCGGTTCAAATTTCTCTACTACCGTGATCGTATAGGCTACTCTCTTGCACAATTGCATGATGTGATTGAAAATTCAGGCTTTTGTTTTCCGGAACCCTGAAAATTCAGGCCTTTTTTTTTAGGAACCCTGAAAATTCAGGCCTTATTTCACAAGGACCCTGATGCATCAACGTCCCTAAAAGTGAATCTGAGGGCCTGATACAATTGTATGAGTCATGATATGTAGGTTATCAATATAACATTGTTTCATTCGATTATGTTTCTGTCAGAATGAGGAATGGATGTTGCATTGATGTTGGTTGGGGTACATATGACAAACCCTAACTTCTGTACCCCCCAAGACAAACCTCACTACAGGCTACAACATTTGACACACCCCCATAGCCTAAGTGAGGGGTGTCTAGCAAAAACAAAAAAAAGAGTACGGTCACAAGACCAGTCCAAAAGAAAACAAAGCTCAGGGTGGATCACAACGTCACCACACACTCTGAGCACAAGCAACAGTGGCCACAAGGCCAGTCCAAGAGATCACAAGTATATATAGTAAGTGTACAGACGAAGCAGGCAATAAACTCAAGTCTACGCAGGACTAGAACCTGTGTCAACAAGGCCTAACTGCACACAACACCTCTGGTGGTCACAAGGCGGAAGCGCCTTGGTGAAGATGTCTGCATTGTTGGCCTCGGACTCTACAAACTCGAAGAGAGCCTGTCCACGCCTCTGCAACTCTCGCAGAAGAAAGTACCTGACGTGAATGTGCTTCACTCTGCTCTCCAGTCGCGGCTCACGACAGAGGAGGATCGACGCCTTGTTGTCAGTAAACAAGGTCGGTGCAGAGCTCGGCCGCTCACCAAGGTCGGCGAGCAAGAAGGTCAACCACCGCAACTCCTGTGCCGCCATGGCACCAGCGTAAATCTCAGCCTCAGCTGTAGAGGTCGAGACAGAAGAGGAGCGCGTGGAACGCCAGGAAACAGCTCCAGAACCCAGACTGAAACAGTACCCCTGAGTAGACCTGTGAGTCTCAGCGTCGTCAGCGTAAGAGGAGTCACAGTGACCAGTGAGTACGACAGACTGCTGCCCTCCAAGAACTAGCCCCACGCCTGATGTAGTCGCTAGGTACTTCGCCACCCTCACAGCTGCCGTCCAGTGAACAGGACGGTGTCTCCCTGGCGCAACAAAGCGCGCAAGGATGCTGAGAGGGAAGGCGAGGTCCGGGCGAGTACAAGTCATCAGGTACATGAGGCAACCCACAAGCTCTGCGTAGGGACCACTAGGCTCAAACGGCTCGTCAGGAAAGGGACCAGTGAGTCTGTGGTCAACAGCTAGAGGTGTGCGCTGTACGGTAGAGTGCTGAAGCCCGAACCGCTGAAGGACCTGCTGCACCATGTGTGACTGTGAGAGTGTAATGGTGCGAGCGGCTCTGTCCCTGGTGATCTGCAGGCCAAGGTAGTGGCGCAGCTCACCAAGATCAGTGCACGTGTGTCTCTTCTGCAGTTCGGACTTCACGTCTGCCAAAGCAACCCTGTCCGAAGTGGCGAAAACGAGGTCGTCGACGTAGACCAGAACAAAGAACGGTGTGGAGCCACGACGAACGAACAGCGACGGGTCGGCAGAAGACGGCTGGAACCCAAGGTCAGAGAGGGTAGAACGCAGAGTGTCGTGCCACTCACGAGGGGCCTGGCGAAGACCGTAAATAGGTCGCCTCAGCCTCCACTGGGTCCCAGGAGGGAAAGTGCCAGTGAAGGCCGAGGGACGACACAACCAGACCTCCTCGTGTAGACTGCCCTGAAGGAAAGCAGTGGAGAAGTCAAGAGAGTGTAACTCGTAGTCTCTCTGTGCTGCTACGTGTAGTAACACCCGAAGAGTGGTCATCTTCGGGGTAGGTGCGAAGGTCTGAAAGAAGTCAACTCCCTCGCGCTGACTGAAACCTCTAGCCACGTAGCGCGCCTTGAAGACCGGGGGAGATCCCGGTGGCCGCTTCACCCTGTAGATCCACATGCCGTCGACTACGTTCGCCCCAGGGGGGGGAACCTCATCGACGTAGGTGCCTGTGGATCTGTAGGAGGCCATCTCTGCGTCCATGGCAGCTCTCCACTGAGAGGCCCAAGGCCCTGACACTGCCTCAGCGTAAGTGCGAGGAGTCGGAATGTCAAGGGCGTCGGGGTCACCCTCAACAGCGAGGAGCATGGCACAGAGATGAGGGGAAGCGGCCGCCAGGAACTCTAGCTCAAACTGCCTGTCCTCTAGGGCGTCACAGCCAAGGGCAGACACACCCCCGACGGCCAGAGGACTGGTAGGAGGAGCAGCCACAAGCGTGGTGGCGTAGTCAAGGCGACGGGTAGAGGCAAAGTCAGTAACTGCGGCAGTAAGAGCGGACACAGAGGACACAGAGGCACGAGGGTGAGTAACAAGAGAGGCAAGAACACGAGAGAGAACAGGACGGTACGTGCGGTAGTAGTCAGTGACAGGAGTAGGGAGCGACACAGTGAGGGCCGACTCAGAAGGAGACGGAAGCACAGACTGAGACGGACGAGGTGGACTAGAAAGAAGGAAGGCAGTACGAAGGTCAGTGAAGGGAACAGGAGACGAGGGACGAGCACGAGGGGAGCGACGAGTAGCCCAAGAACGAGACGGAGGAGGAGAGGACAAAGGCGGAGAACTGGGGAAAACAGCGGGGGAGGAGTCAGGAGGAGGAAACGTGGGACCGTAGACAGGAGGAGAGGCGGAGGAGGGAGGAGAAGGGGAGGGGAGACCAAGGATCCGAAGACCCGAGACGGGAGGAGGAAGTGGCTGCTGCTGCTGCGGCTGCGACTGCTGCTGCTGCGGACGCGGCTGCTGCTGGGACTGCTGCTCCTGCGGGTCCAGCTGCTGCTGCTGCTCCAGCCGCTGTAACTCCCTCTCCTCTCTCTCCAACGCCAGCTGCTCGTCACGGGCACGGCGAACACGAGCCTGGTGCCTAGTCGGGTAGGGGTGGGGGGGTGGAGTAGTGTCCGAAGCAGCGGCAGCTCCAGAGTCCACCTCAGAAGAACTAGGCGCACCACCCCCAGAGGCAGCACTAACACCAGCTCCAGAACCAGGCTCACCTGAACCCGAAGGAGGCGCACCCTCACCCCCAGACGCAGCACCCCCAGTGTCCGCGCGGCCAGCACCAGCTCCCGGACGACAAGAGTCCTCTGCACCCACCGGGTCAGCTCCAACTCCAGAACCAGAAACTCCAGCTCCAACTCCAGCACCCCCAGAACCAGAAACTCCAGTGCCAACTCCAGCTCCAACTCCAGCTCCAACTCCAGCACCCCCAGAACCAGAAACCGGTACAGGAACAGGCGCCGCACCAACCTCTCGAGAGCTAGCACCAGCGGCACGCTGCGAGGAGGACTGTGGGGAGGGAGGCTGTACCGGAGGGGCTACCGAAGGAGGAGGGGTAGCCTGGGACACACCTGACGGGGCTGGACCAGGGGGGGGAGGCTGTACCGGGGGAGCAGGAGGGGGAACGGCAGTCAGGAAGAGGGGGCGAGGAGGAACCAGGAGACCTCGACTGGGGTACCTGACGTAGTTCGGAGCGGACTCCTCGAAACGGACGTCACGGGAGTCAAAGAACCGGTGAGAGGGAGGGTGGTAAAAGGTGAAGTCAGAGGAGTCCTCAGGGAAACCAAGGAAGACACAGGGGACGGCACGAGGCGAGAGCTTGTCCGCGGAGGTGTCGCGGACAAGAGCCAAGCACCCCCAGACACGAAACCGCGACGCAACACCAGGGGACCCTGTCCAAAGACTGGTCGGTGAAACCTCTGGTCGAGAGCCACGTGGCCAGAGGTTCAGCTGGTGCGCGGCGTACCTGACCGCGTAGGGCCACAGAAAATGGGGGGTACAGGCGTGAGTCAGGGAGGTGCGGGCGATCTCCATGACCAGGCCTATGCGGCGCTCAGCAACCCCATTCTGCTGTGGGGACTCTGGAAGCGTCCAGGACTGACGAATGCCCTGCTCGCGACAGAATCCAGCGAGAATGCCGGAGCGAAACTCACCCCCACGGTCGGAGTGGAGACAGCTGACACGACGACCACGAGTGTCCGCAGTGGTGAGCAACCACCTGATCAGCGTAGAAGTCACCGCAGACTTCTTCGCCAGAGGGAACACTGTGGTGTAGCGGGAGAAGTCGTCAACGACCACCAGAAAGTAACGCTCACGCTCAGGGCCTAGACGAGGGGCTGGGCCCCAGACGTCCAAGTGAAGCGTCTCAAAAGGCTCGGTGTCCGGACGAAGGGAGGAGGAGTGAGGGGTGGCGCGCAGCCTACCCTCGACGCAGGGACGACACGGCGGCGCAGGCGAAGGCGGCAGCGACGGCAAGACACGTGGGAGGCCTAGGACAAGACGCTGACTAGACATAGCGCGCAGACGTGGAAGGGACGGGTGCCCCATCCGGTGGTGCCACAGAACGGTGGGGTGGGCAAGCGACCGACAGGAGCACGACGCAGCGACTGGAACAGACGTAGGAACCTGACACGACACAGACACCTGGGGGGACGTAGCAACCTGGTGAGACGCGGGGACCCGAACGGGGGGGGGAACCGGGGGCAGTGGCAGTAGGGGGGGCTGCTGGTGCGGCCGCTGGTGCTGCTGCTCCTGCTGCTGCTGCTGCTGCTGCTGCTGCTGCTGCTGCTGCTGCTGCTGCTGCTGCTGCGGCTGCGGCTGCTGCTGCTGCTGCTGCGGCTGCTGCTGCGGCGCACGCGGGCCAGTGTGAAGAGTGTAGAGACCCGAGCCCGGCTCAGTAGTAAAGGTAGCAAGAGGCTGGTAAGAGTCTCCGTCAACACACACCGCAGTTTCTCCAGAAGGCTCAAACCACACACCCACGTGCTGGCTCACGAGGGGTCGCACGCCCACCAAGTTCCGGGAGAACGAGGGGACGTGAAACCCAGTGAGAGACCCGGAGGGAGCAGCAGGACACGGTAAAGTGGTAGTGTGACGTGCAGTGACTGGTCCCGTAGTGGGATCAGCCAACGCTACAGAAACAGGCGCAGGAAGTGGTGTAAGTGTCGTGCTGTCCCGAAAGAAGCAGTGGGAGGCTCCAGAGTCCAGTGTGAACGACAGCGAAGTGTCCTCTGAGGTAGTCGCTGGTCTAGAGTCTACACAAGTACCTACACTAGCAACAGGCAACTGAGCAAGACTAGCACCTAAGCTAACAACACCAGAGTAAACAGAGTCAGAAACACTAGAGTCAACAACAGCATACATAGCATGAGGAGCACTAATCAGATCAACTAACTGCTCAGCAGACATGCCCCACAGAGCGGAGCCGTAGCGCTGAACCAGAGGAAGCCAGTCAGGAGCAGGACCGCCAACCCCGTAGGTCAACTGGACCGTGTCAGTGAACTGAGCAAAGCACTGACCAGGGGGGTGAAAGCGGCCACAAGGGTGGCCCCGACGAGGACCTGTCTGAACCTGGTAGGGGCGGGGAGGGTAAGCAGCACCGCGCTGGGGCTGACGCAGCCCCGACCCCGGAGCCAGCTGCTGACGCTGCTGCTGCTGAGGCTGCTGGGAGGAAAGGGGCTGCTACTGCTGCTGAAGGTGCTGCTGACGCTGAGCCTGGTACCACGCCGCTGCTCCACCTAGCGGGGCCGGCAGTACAGGAGGCGACTGACGAGCTCGAGGGTCGCCGCCACCAGCAGGTGCAGTGGAGTCACCAGCCGCTGCACGAGGGGTCTCTCCAGAGGCTGCACTCCCACCACTGCCAGTCGCAACAACACCCCCACTACCTCCGCTACCTCCGCCTCCACCTCCACCGGAACCACCTTTCTTGCCCCCCCTGCCGCGGGACCGCGACGCAGTCGTAGCAGCAGCCGCAGTCGCGTCAGTAGCGGCAGTGGCAAGAGAGGCAGTGAAGGTGGGTAACTGCGGGACTGTGCACCCGTGGAAGAGTGGGGGGGACACAGTACCAGAGGCGGCAGCTACCGAACGAAGGTTGCTCTCGACGTCCTTGAGTGCAGACTCAAGGACCTCGATAGTCAGCTCACTAGGGTGCTTCAGCAGAAGCGCGTCACGAACGGAGGCAAGGCGGTCAGGGAGGCTAGTGGCGATGAAATAGACAGTAATCGCCATGGGGGGAGGAAGCAGTGCAAGCTGTGCCTCAGTGCAAGCAGCGCGGTAACTAGCGTCGAGCGAGCGGAGGTGAGCGATCAAGTCAGCAGAGCGCTCAAACGAGGCAAGATCAGGAAACAGGAACGGGAGGAAAAGACGGCCGAGAGAGACAGTAGCGGGAGTAGAGTAGCGGGCCTTAATCGCACTGAGGTACGCAGCAGCGGTGCGAACCTGAGTAAAGTGGACCTCCTCGGACTCAGGGAGGAGGCTGCTGAGTGCGATGCAGGCCGCAGCGTCACGCGACGTCCAAGCCGTCCGGTCAGCGCGCTGACGGGCAAAGCGAGCCGTAGCAGCGTCGTCAGGAGCAGGGCCTAAAGCGGTAGGCTCGGGGGGCTCGGGGAGGTCACCAGTAGCGTGTGACCAGAGGGTCTCGACCCCCTGGACCTGACTCTCTAACAGACGACGAGCGCGAAGAAGCCAGACGGAAAAGTCAAGGGGTCTACCGTCGGCGTCGAAACGAAGAACTCGCGGAGTCGCCATAGTGAGAACCAACGCGAACGAACAGGCGAGTAACAACACGGGGGGGAAGAGGACTCAGTCGCAGCGGAAGAGCGGGCTAGGGCGACGGGCCAAGACGTAGGGTAGGGCAACGGGCCAGGGCCTAGGGTAGGGCGACGGGCCAGAGCCTAGGGAGGGCGACGGGCCAGGGCCTAGGGAGGGCGACGGGCCAGGGCCTAGGGAGGGCGACGGGCCAGGGCCTAGGGAGGGCGACGGGCCAGGGCCTAGGGAGGGCGACGGGCCAGGGCCTAGGGAGGGCGACGGGCCAGGGCCTAGGGAGGGCGACGCGACGGGGGAAAGGGCAGGAGCGACGCGACGGGGCAGGGCGACGCGACGGGACAGGGCGACGCGACGGGGCAGGGCGGCGCGACGGAGCAGGGCGACGGGACAGGGCAGGGCGACGCGACGGGGTAGGGCGACGCGACGGGACAGGGCGACGGGACAGGGCAGGGCGACGCGACGGGACAGGGCGACGGGACGGGGGGGTAACAGGCGCGCGCGACGCGACGGGGGGAACGGGCGCGACGCGACGGGGGGGAACGGGCGCGACGCGACGGGGGGAACGGGCGCGACGCGACGGGGGGAACGGGCGCGACGCGACGGGGGGAACGGGCGCGACGCGACGGGGGGGGAACGGGCGTGACGCGACGGGGGAGATGGCGCTAGGCTCGGTACTAGGCGCGGTAACAACGAAACTGGTACGAACGAGAGGTAGGATCAGGCTCGGGAGGTACGAACGGAGAACGGAGGAACGGGATCCCACAGGATCCTAACCTAGCTGATACCATGTCTAAATGAGGAATGGATGTTGCATTGATGTTGGTTGGGGTACATATGACAAACCCTAACTTCTGTACCCCCTTAGACAAACCTCACTACAGGCTCCAAATCTGCGGTTCCTCTTCTTCCCCACCCGCAAGGCGTGTAATGCGCCTGCACTGGCTGCACTGCGGCAGGACTACCCCGCCCTGGCGCTCTATTGTGTGGTGGACCGCTCCTTCTATTGGGAGAGGAAGGGCAAGATGGTGAGCAATGCGCCGCTCGAGCATGTGAGGCGGGCAAAGAGTGGGGTGTGGGATGAAGAAGAGGAGGAGAAGCGGCCCAAGAAAGTGTGGGAGAAGATGCACAGTGTGAACAGGAAGCTGGTGGAGGGGTACTGTGCTGAGGACGACCAGGTGTACGAGCTGCAGTTCCAGTAGAAGTGATTCTTCTAGTACCGCATTTGCCTCCAGGCCTGGGTAACTTGCTCTCTTGATGGTTTCAGCAGCCGGTAGCACGACATGACGATTGCATGAATTGGAGGAGGTAGCAGAAGCATACAATTCAGGCCCTACGATATCAGGAATTTTTTCCTGGAATTCCTGATTTTCAGCCTAGTTTTGTGTACCTACACTGAATTTTCAATGTTGAGATTTTTGTGACACTGATTTTTTCAGCCTTTACTTCATAGCTAACACTGATGTTTCAGACTTATATCGAAGTGTACACTGAATGCACATTCCGAATCCTTCCCGTAAAACACCCGAGACAATAAGTCAACCAACATTTCCGCATAATAAAATCTTATATAAAAAAAGGCTGACTCGATGAACTGGCTTAGTTGGCGAAGTAGATACCGATTGGTAAGGTTTCCGGTTCAAATTTCTCTACTACCGTGATCGTATAGGCTACTCTCTTGCACAATTGCATGATGTGATTGAAAATTCAGGCTTTTGTTTTCCGGAACCCTGAAAATTCAGGCCTTTTTTTTTAGGAACCCTGAAAATTCAGGCCTTTTTTCACAGGGACCCTGATGCATCAACGTCCCTAAAAGTGAATCTGAGGGCCTGATACAATTGTATGAGTCATGATATGTAGGTTATCAATGTAACATTGTTTCATTCGATTATGTTTCATACCATGTCTATGTTGTAGGCAAAGGTAGCTAACTTGCATTTGTACAGTGTTGTTACTGTAGAGAACGCAACGCAGCCGGCTATCATGACAGCTCAAACATGAAATGCAGAGACACACTTCAAATGCATGCACATCATCGTAATGCAGGCAGCACGCACGATGCTAGCACACATTCTACTAATGAGGGTGTGGGTGCTGAGGAGATGGAGTCAGTGAGGAGACGAGGGCATCAGGCGGAGGGCAGCAGCAGCGCAGCAGCAACGGACATTCCCTCCTCGTTGAGCACGTTGAGTGTGGCTATGGCGTGGCGCTGGTGGGGGATAAAGTGGAGAAGAGGGGGGGATATGAGGGAGGACAGGGGTAGGTGTGTGGGTATGCCATGGCCCTCCTCGTTCAACACGTTGAGCGTCGCTATGGCGTGGCGCTGGTGCGGGGTGGAGGCAAGGAATAGCGGGATGGATAGGAGGAAGGAAAGGGATGGAGGTGTGGATATGACATAAGCAGGGGGGCCATGAACGGGGGATAGGAGGAAGGAAAAGCGTAGAGGTGAGGATATGGCATCCCTCGTTGAGTATGTTCAGCATCGCTATAACGTGCCGCTGGTTGAGGGAATGGCATGGATTGCTCTCCTCGTTGAGCGCGCCGAGCGTCACTATGGAGTGGTACTGGTGGGATATGTGGGGAGGTGGGGACGGGGGCCACACGCGAGAAAGGGAATAATGGGGGGAATGGCATGGTGCAGGGACTGATGGGGGTGGGAGGAAAGAAGGGAGAGGGGGGGGGTCGCTGGATAGAACATGGTGCTTTGAGGGGCGCAAAAAGGAGGGCGGTGGGAAAGGGATGAGGGAAGGAGACAGTGGGGTGCTGGATACGGCATGGTGTTGTGAGGGGGGCAAATAGGAGGAGGGCGGAGGGGTCCGGGGTTAGGGAAGTGTGAGAGGTCGGCAGTCAGGACACAAAGTGGTGCTGAGAGGTGATAGGATCGGTGCTGTGCAGTGATTTGAGTGGTGCTGTGAGGTGATAGAAGTGGGTTCTGAGAGGTGATTGGAGTGATGCTGAGCAGTGATAAGAGTGGTGCTGAGCGGTGATAAGAGTGGTGCAGAGCGGTGATGGGAGTGGTGCTGAGCGGTGATAGGAGTGGTGCTGAGCGGTGATAAGAGTGGTGCGGAGCGGTGATGGGAGTGGTGCTGAGCGGTGATACGAGTGGTGCTGAGCGGTGATAAGAGTGGTGCAGAGCGGTGATGGGAGTGGTGCTGAGCGGTGATACGAGTGGTGCTGAGCGGTGATAAGAGTGGTGCAGAGCGGTGATGGGAGTGGTGCTGAACGGTGAGAGGAGTGGTGCTGAGCGGTGATAAGAGTGGTGCAGAGCGGTGATGGGAGTGGTGCAGTGATAGGAGTGGCGCTGAGCGTGAAAGGAGCGGTGCCGAGCGGTGATAGGACTGGTGCTGAACGGTGATGGGAGTGGTGCTGAGCGGTGAGAGAGACGTGCTGAGCGGTGATAGGAGTGGAGCTGAGTGGTGATAGGAGTGGTGCTGAGCGGTGAGAGAGTGGTGCTGAGCGGTGAAAGGAGATGAAGTGTTGCATCAATGTTGTTAGATGTGTAAGACGGGAGTTCATAATTAAGGATTCGTTGGTGTATGAAAGAGTATTCCCCATCCAATCTCATGCCACAAACCCAAACCCACCAGCACCGCGAGCGTTACAACAAGTAACAAAAAAACTCACAATTGAAAGCACTTTGAGCTTCATGCCACACGCCCTCATGAACTCTCTCAGCTCCCCTGGTGCTGCACTGCACTGCCAGCACCCGCAGCACTTTCAGTGATACCAGCATCACCAGCTGTACCACAGGCATTTACCGAACATGGAGCACTCACGGAGCACACAGCACTCACAGTGGAGAGCACTTCGAGCTTCATGCCACACGCCCTCACGAAGTGCCTCAGTTCCCCCGGCACTGCCTGCATGCGCTGCCCCGTGCCCAGTAGCAGTAGCTCTGTGCAGGAGGGGTGGTGGTGGGGAACGGGAGGCGGGCGGGGAAGACGCTTTTTTAGGCGCCTCAAAAGATCCTCTGCACTGCCTGCATGTGCCACCCCGTGCCCCGTAGCAGTAGCTCTGCACAGAGAGAGGGGGTTGGGTAATGGGGGGGGGGGGGAGGGGAAAGGGAATCCAAGGGCGAGACGAGGAGGGGAGAGGAGAGGAGAGGGGTGGAGTGAAGGGGACAAGAGATGGAAAGGGGAAAGAGAAAGGGAGATTGAAGGAGGAGAGAAGAGGAGAGGAGAGAAAAGAAGAGGAAGAGAAAGGGGAGGGAGAGGGGAATAGAGGAGAGGAGAGGAGGGAGAGGAGAGGTGAGGAAAGGAGAGGAGAAGAGGGGAAGGGAGGAAATGGTTGCTTTCTCCGCCTTGCCCATGCCATGCCATGCTATGCCCTACCATGCCATGCTATGCCATGCCATGCTATGCCATGCCATGCCATGCCATGCCATGCCATGCCATGCCATGCTATGCCATGCCATGCTATGCCATGCCATGCTATGCCATGCCATGCCAAGCCATGCCATGCCATGCCATGCCATGCTATGCCATGCCATGCCATGCCATGCCATGCTATGCCATGCCATGCTATGCCATGCTATGCCATGCCATGCCATGCCATGCCATGCCTCCCATGCCATGCCATGCTATGCCATGCCATGCCATGCCCATGCCATGCCTCCCATGCCTCACCTTTTGAAGCTCAGACACGCATGCCCTACAAGGCAGCATCACAGCATTCACAACACACCACACACTCAGCACGCCCTCTTCAAGAGAAAGCCCAACGAGCAACGCTGCAAGTAGCACAGGGCATTCACAGCAGCCTGGCATTCAAAAGAGCATACCTGGCTGCTGGCGAATGAGCTGAAAGAGAGCCAGGCTGTGTGGAAGGGACAGGCAGGGGTGACAAGGGGGACAAAAAGAAGGGAGGGGAGTGGAGGGGATGAAGAGGGGGTAGAGAGGGGCAGGGAGTGAGGTGGAGGTAAGGAGAAAGTATGGGAGAGAGGGTGGCAGGTAAAGGCGAAACTGCAAGCCTGGGAGGGAAATTGGGAAGAACTGGTGGAACTCACAGATAAGCCACAGGAAAATGGGGAGAATGGACGGAAGGCTTAAGCGGAGACCACGCCGATTGTTTGGCGTATGAGAAAGAGGTGAGAAAGAGGTGAGAAAGAGGTGAGAAAGAGGTGAGAAGAGGTGAGAAAGAGGTGAGAAAGAGGTGAGAAAGAGGTGAGAACGAGGTGAGAAAGAGGTGAGAAAGAGGTGAGAAAGAGGTGAGAACGAGGTGAGAAAGAGGTGAGAAAGAGGTGAGAACGAGGTGAGAACGAGGTGAGAACGAGGTGAGAACGAGGTGAGAACGAGGTGAGAACGAGGTGAGAACGAGGTGGTGGCAGGGCAGGAAGGGACGGATAGAGACGAGTGAAGCGAGGGGGTGAGGAGGGCCAAAACACATTGTGGCAGGCTGGTAGAGAAAGAGGAGGACGGAGGCGGTAAGGGCATGCGAGGAAGAGAGAGGCGAGTGGCGCGACGCGAGAGGATGGAGGAGGACGCAGAAAGGAAGGCAGACCTGCCATGTGCCGAGACGTCATGAGTGCAGCAAACGTATGAAGGGAAGGAGTGCCATGGAATGGAAGATTGACCAGCACCAGCAGCCGTGACAGCTCTGCGGTTACAACTGCAACCACACCCCTCCCCCCCCTCAACCCTGAACCCTCACCCCTCTCCCCCCTCCCATCCCTCTCACCCCCCTCACCCATCTAAACCCCCCCCTTCTCTTCGCACTCGCCCCTCTCCCCTCACCTGTCGGGGGTGACGTCAGCGAGGCAGGAGGGCGACCAGCAGAGCGCCACGTCACCCACACAGAGGATGGAGGAGTCCAGGTCCCTGCCGCCCACCGTGAAGCCCTTGTCGTCGTACCTGCAGCGGGCGTGGGCAATGGGTACAATGGGCGCAGTGGGTGCAGGGGATGCAGTGGGTGCAATGGGCGCAGTGGGTGCAATGGGCGCAGTGGGTGCAATGGGCGCAGTGGGTGCAATGGGCGCAGTGGGTGCAGTGGGCGCAGTGGGTGCAGTGGGTGCAGTGGGTGCAGTGGGTGCAGTGGGTGCAGTGGGTGCAGTGGGTGCAGTGGGTGCAATGGGCGCAGTGGGTGCAATGGGCGCAGTGGGTGCAGTGGGCGCAGTGGGCGCAGTGGGTGCAATGGGTGCAGTGGGTGCAGTGGGTGCAGTGGGTGCAGTGGGTGCAGTGGGTGCAGTGGGTGCAGTGGGTGTATGGAAGAAGAGGATATGGGATTGGTCAGGCTTGCACAGCATGGCACGGCATGGCAACAGTGGGTAGGCACTGTGCTGCACGAGTGGAGTTGATGTGTCTCGTGCATGTCTCAGCGCACACGACTGCGACGCTCGTGTCTCTGCCACAGCGGCTGTGGCGGGGGGGTGACACCGGCAGTGTAACAAGGGCTATGTAGCAGACGGAATGAAAGGTGTAAGGGAGCAGGAGCGAAGGTGGGAGGAGGGGGGAAAGGAATGGGGAGGAGGGAGGGAGGGAGCGAGGGAGGGAAGACCGAGGGGAGTGGAAGGGGCGGGTAATAAATAAGTGTTTGCTCCGCTGATCTCAGGAGCGAGCGGAATGGGGGGAGCGCGACAGGGGAGGAGAGCGCGGAGAACAGGGAAGAAAGGGGGGAAGAGAGCGAACGGGGGTGCAGAGGGCAGGGGGAGCGCGGGGGGAGAGGCACTCACGCGGTGATGAACACGCGTCCGCTGCTCTCCGCCGCCCCTTCCAGCACGTTGAAGTTGGACGGTTCAGCGGCCCGCGCAACGGCGGACGGCGCGGCTGCTAGGTTGATTCTAGATGGTCCGGCCGCCAGACCCCTTCGCTGCTGTTGCTGGTGGGAGTGGTGGGGGTGGTGCTGGTGGTGGGAGAGGGAGTGGGAGGCGCGGTGGTGGTATCTAAGAGGGGTGGTTTTTTTCCTCTCAACCAATCGGTACGGGTGTGCCGCCTATCCCCGCCATAACCGCGCCTACAACGGCGCCGCTAAAGAGTCGGCGCCCCGGCGGCACTTGTGGGCAGCAGACGAAGCGACGCGCTTGCCAGTAGTGGACGGCACAGCGCGCCGAGTTTCGATCGCGCAGTCATGGCGGCGTACGCGATATAACGCACGCCGCGGGGCGGAGGAGGGAGTGGGAAGAGAAGGGTGCTAGGAACGGCCGCGGCTCGCGGAAGCGAGGTAAGGCTGTGGGAGGGGTGGGGAAAATTGGAGCGTAGCGCGGCGAGATGTGACATGGCGGCGAAAGGCAGCAGCAGCGCGCGCGAGAGAGGGGAACCCCCTCCCTGCCCCGCGCGTCGCTGCCCCTCCCCGCGCGCCCGCCGCGCGCCGTCGCCGCGCCATCGCAGCAACCGCTCGTGCGACTTTTTTAGCAGCCGCTCCCTTCTCGACTGATCTCTGTGCGGTTCCTATGCGATGCGTGTGCGACGTCTGCGCGATCCCTGTGCAATGCCTGTGAGTCGACTCAAGGGCGCGCTCGTGCGCCTCAAAAACAGTGAATTAAAACCGACTGGGGCGCATGTGGAGAAAAACGACTGTTGTTCGAGAAGCAACAACCTTGCTTACTGAATTTATCCGCTTGGGCTGGGTGTGCGCACGGGATTGAGCCCTGAATCCAAAGCCCCCTCACCCACCTGCTCTGGGGTACTTAGGGTGCGTCAGATCCGCTACAATGTGATTTGGCTGCAAATTTGTCGCCCTTTGGTCGACTCCTTTTTTCACCAAAGTCGACCGAATGGTCGAATGCTAAACCGACCACCATCCAGCCACATTTACAAGGTATTGAAATCTGACAGATTTGGTGGCCGATTTACAGGCCGGTTTGCAAAAGTGTCAGATTTGCAGGTCCACAGTTGGCCGGATTGTGCGACGGAGTCGCACGTATTGTTCCTGAAGTGACATAACCGCTATTGTGCACACTACGATCAGGAAGTCAAGATGTGAGCTGCGGCTCCATTTACAACCCGGCTCGGCGAGATCGTGTCGTCTACCCGAACTGAGTGTGACGAGAGCATACAAAAACCGGAACGTCCCTACACTCTAGCCATTATCCAACATGGAGGATCCTTTCACACCCAGATGGGCACGACGTTTAGCAATCGGACTCACGCACGTTGTGCTCATCCCCTTGGTCGCTGCAGTCGATGTCATGGTGCCCTTGCTCCTTGACTTTGCTGACGAGAGCGATTACCAGGTGTTCTGGCGGAAAGACCGAAGTATTCAACGAGCGCGTTGGATGGACCGCTTCTTGCACATGTCCCAAGACCCCCTATACGAAACACTGCGAGTTGATCGTGACGTATTCGGTTACCTCGTGTTGCACTACACAAGTGTGACTCCAAAAAGTGGTCATGTTTGTGAGAATTGAGGAATGAAATGAACCAGCACAAAGTTGGGTACAAGTAGGAAACCCAAGGAAACTGTACCCCATAGTATCTACCCCACTATAGCCTACACAAGCTATATAATATGAGTTTGACACACCCCCATAGGCAAAGTGGGGGAGAACAAGAGGTCACAAGACCAGTCAAGCGAAGCAAAGCAAGCTCAGGGTGGATCACAATGTCACCAAACAATCTGAGCACAAAAGCAAGGCCAAAAGGCCAGTTCACATGCAAGATCATATATAAAGGCAAACAAGCAAGTGCAGGTATAGAAAGATCACAGTACAAGCAAGGTCAAGAAGTGAGCAAGTGAGGCCAAGTAGGTACAAGACCTAGCATCGTACAGAAGCGCTGATGATCACAAGGCGGAAGTGCCTTGGTAAAGATATCAGCAGTGTTGGCCTCAGAGGCCACGTAAGCAAGGCGCAGCTGACCACGCTGTTGCAGCTCACGAGCAAGGAAGTAGCAAAGAGCAATGTGCTTCGTTCTGTGCTCTAGTCTGTGCTCCCGACACAAGGCCAGCATGGCCTTGTTGTCTACGTACAGAACTGGAGGAGAACGAGGCGACTCTCCTAGGTCAGTCAGCAGGTAGGTGAGCCAACGTAGCTCCTGTGCAGCCATGGCCCCCGCGTAGATCTCAGCCTCACAGCTGGAGCTGAGAACAGAAGACGAGCGGGTAGACCGCCACGAAACAGAGCCGGAGCCAAGGCTGAAGGTGTAACCCTGTGACGACCGCTGCAGAGCCTGGTCGTCAGCCCAAGAGGCGTCTGCGTGACCTGTGAGGACCACTCGACGTCGCCCTCCAAGCACTAGCCCCATGCCCGACGTACTGCACAAGTAGCGCAACACCCTCTTCGCTACACCCATGTGCTCTGGCCTGTGTCTGCCAAGAGCAACATAGCGTGCCAAGATGCTAAGAGGGTATGCAAGGTCAGGTCGTGTGCAGGTCATCAGGTACATGAGGCAGCCAACAAGCTCTGGTTACGGGCCACTCGGCTCTACGGACTCATCCGAAGGCAGGGCTGAGAGCGAGTGGCGAGTAGACAGAGGAGTGGCCTAAGGCGAGGAGTACGTGAAGTCGAAGCGCTGAAGGACCTGCTGCACCATGTGTGACTGAGTCAGTGTAATGGTGCGCTGTGCTCTGTCCCGGGTGATCTGCAAGCCAAGGTAGCTGCGCAGTTCACCTAGGTCTGTGCACATGTGTCTCTTCTGCAGCTCGGACTTCACGTGGGCGAGACCAGTAGTGTCAGCAGTGGCAAAGACCAAGTCGTCGACGTACACGAGGATGTAGAACGGCGGCAAAGAGGTGTCGATGCGCAGAAACAGCAACGGGTAGGCTGTAGAAGGAGCAAACCCAAGAGCCGCAAGTGTAGTCCTCAGTGTGTCGTGCCACTCACGGGGCGCCTGGCAGAGACCATAGACTGGCCGCCGGAGGCTCCACTGGGTACCAGGAGGAAACGACCTAGTGAAGCCAGGTGGGCGGCGCAGCCAGATCTCCTCGTGCAGGCTGCCCTGCAGGAAAGTCGTGCTGAAGTCAAGAGAATGAAGCTCGTAGTCGCGCTGAGCTGCTATGTGCAGCAGCACCCGAAGAGTGGTCATCTTCGGGGTGGGAGAGAAGGTTTGAAATTAGTCAACTCCCTACCGCTGACTGAAGCCTCGAGCCACGTAACGCGCCTTGAAGACAGGCGGAGAACCCGGCGGCCGCTTCACCCTGAAAATCCACATGCCACTGACGATGTTCGCCCCAAGTGGGGGAACCTCATCAACGTAGGTGCCTGTGGACTTCCAGGAAGCCATCTCTGCGTCCATGGCCGACTGCCACTGAGAGGAGTACGGACCCTCGATCGCCTCAGCGCACGATCGAGGAGTCGGGATGTCTGGTGCATCCGGGTCTTCCTTAGGGGCAATCAGCGTGGACACGAGATGGGGCAAAGCAACACCAAAGCAGTGGAACTCCTCCTGCCTGTCCTCAAGGACGTCCGTGCTAAGAGCACACTCACCCCAGACGGACGAAGGACAGACAGACTCAGACTCAGCAACAAGACTAGTAGCGTAGTCCAGACGATAGCGAGCAGCAAAGTCGACAAGCTTAGCAACTAGGGCCGACGCAGGAGTGGACTCAAAGGAAGGGTCTGTGACAACAGTGGCCAGGAGACGCGTGACAGTAGGACTGGCAGCACGAAGAGAGTCAGACTCAGGGTCAGCAAGGACAGGAAGAGAGGACTCTGGAGGAGACGGCAACGGGACACGCAGAGGAGTAGTGGAAGGACGCAGTGCCATCTGGTGTGTGTCTGGGACCGCAGGAGGACGCGGACGCGGAGCACGGCGACTAGTGCAAGCAGCACGAGCTGGCGACGTAGGACGAGACGCAGGCTCACGACGCTCAGCAAGACCTCTAGTAGGACCAGTGTAGGGAGAAGGAGCAGGTAGGGGGGAGGCGGGCTGTAACTGTGACTGCAACTGGACAGGCAGTGGACACTCTAAGGGAGGAGCAGGACTAGTAGAGGGCGGGAGACCAAGAACTTGCTCAAGGAGCGGAACGAAGTACTGCTGCGGCCCCGTAGCGCCTCCAGAACTTGCAGGGACAGTACCAGTACCCCCAGCGGCAGCACCAATGCCAGTAGCACCTCCAGCTCCAACAGCGCCAACTCCAGCACTCCCAGACATACCAACGCCAGCAGAAACACCAACGCCAACACCCCCAGCAGCTCCAGCTCCAGCAACTGCAGCAGCACCAACTCCACCAGGACCGGCAGCTCCAGTACCGCCAGCAGCTCCAGTAGGACCAACTCCAGCAGCCCCAGCAGCACCCCCAGTCCCAGCAGCTCCAATACCGCCAGTACGAGCACCTCCGGGACCAGCAGCAACAGTAGTACCTCTAGCTCCTACAGCACGGCTCCTGCGGCGGGCAAACCACTCGCGCAGCTCCTGTGGAGAGAGTGGCTCCCGCCTCTACGAAGCACCGCCGGCGGCAACACGAGCAGAACCAGTGCCCCCAGGCTCCGCACCCCCAGGCTCCGCACCCCCCGGCTCCGCACCCCCAGGCTCAGCACCTCCAGACCTAGCACATCCATACTCAGCACCCCCAGTCTCAGCACCCCAAGACTCAGCAACTCCAGACCCGGCACCCGCAAGCTCAGCACCTCTAGCAGCAGCAGAGTCAACAGCTACCTCGACAGGCTCGACTGCATCTACCTGGGACACACCTGACGGGGCAGGACCCTGGAGGGGGAGGGGGTCTACCGGGGGAGGACCTGGCGCAAGGAAGAGCGGCGGCGGGGGGAGGGGTGCAGTGCGGTAGGGGAAGAGACGGCAGTAAGGCACCGACTCGTCAAAGGTGACGTCCTGGGAGGACAAAACACGGCGTGAGGTGGGGTGGTAAAACTGCCACCCACGCGCATCAAGGGGGAAGCCAAGGAAGACGCAGGGAATAGCACGGGGGGACAGCTTGTCCGCAGACAAGTCGCGGACAAACGCCCGAGATCCCCAGACCCGAAACGTAGACGCATCGCCAACCTTCCCCGTCCACCGCAAGGTGGGGGAGGTCTCTGGCAAGGAGACCCGGGGCTGAAGGTTGAGCTGATGCGAGGCACACTGAACCGCAAACGGCCACAGAAAATGGGGGGCAGCCGCATGCATCATAGACGTACGAGCGACGTCCATGACCATGCCAATGCGGCGCTCAGCAATCCCATTTTGCTGTGGAGAGGCCGAAAGCGTGAAGGTATGGCGGATGCCCTGTGCACGACAGAAGGCTCCCAGACGGGCGGAGGAAAACTCCCCGCCTCTGTCCGAGTGCAGACGCAGAACAGGAAAGTCCGAGCTGAAACTCTCCCTGAGCTAGAGACGAGCTG